ACTACTGAATCATCAACATAAAAACTATCACGTAACAGCGCAAGCATAGCACGATCAGCATCATTAGCGCATGCAAGCAGCCTATCTAAATGGTGCAACAACACAGCATTCAGAATGAAGGGGGAGCAGTTGGCTCCGAATGGCAATTTTGTGAGCCGCCAAACACACATTTCGCTTTCGCCCAGCTCGGGCCACACAAAGCGCAAATATGGCCTATCCTCTTCTCTAATGCCAATCATGAAAAAGCCTTCCTAATGTCCGCTTGTAGTGCAAACTGATACTCACGAAACCGTAGGAGAAGGCCCACCAGATCGGGTAGTAGCGATGGTCCTGGGTTCAACAGGTCATTCAATGATGACTTCCCAGTTGCCGATGCCGATGCGTTGAAGACTACCCTTGTCTTGGTCGTAGCGGCGTGCTCCCTGAAGATGGCATGATGTGGCATGTAGTAGCCGGGCTGTTCGGGGTTCGGCTCTCTTTCGATAGCTCCTAGCTCGCTGTACTCTCTCATGAGCACGTTGTCATACTGCTGCCTCTTGCCCTTGACGTTCAGCCGATCCATCAGCTTGGTAGCTGCTGCCATAGCTTGGGTGTAATTTTCAGGTGGTCGGCGGTCAGACCTCCATAACAGCCCCACTTGGTACTGCGTCCCCACTTGCTCTATGGGGAACTCAGGCTGGTGGCTCGTTACGCTTGGTGGCTCCTCCAGCTGCCACAACCGTTCTACCCTCGCTTCGATGCAGGCAACTGACACCGTGCATCCGAGTTCGGCGTCCTTAGTTGGGCCAGACAGTACCCAGCCGATCTCCGTTTCCCAGGCGGTGTTGCCGTTGACCACCCGTTTTTGCAGTAGGATGTCGTTGCAGTGATCTGCACCAATCAGGAGATGGACGTCGTTGGGCGTACCTTCGCCTGGTTGGTCACTCAGATTGATGCCGCTCGCTTTCCATTGGCATATCGTTGCCTTGGCGACTGGCGGGAAACGCATACTCATGTTGTCATTTTTCCAGGCGTGTACCTTGATAGGACCCGAGGTACCCGTCACTGCAACCTCGAGGCGCTCCATTCTCTGGACCACAGGCTCATTGCCGAATGCCGTTACCTTGACCTGGTCTGTCCCTACACACTTGGGGGAAATGGCTGCCGCTAGCGATGAGGAAATAAATGAGGCCTGTGACCCTGGGTCCAGAAAGACTCTCACTCGTGCCCGCTTCTTGGCGCATACTTCCGCTACAGCTGTCATGAGATGCACCGGTGCCGATGTGGTACAACTGTATGTGTTGATGCTCTCATCCCGGTCCTTGGCGGGTTTAGGCTTTGGTTTCCCATGCAGCAACGTGTGGTGCTTGCCATCGCACTTGCTGCAACCTGTGTTGGCCTGGCACTGCTCTGCCAGGTGACCCCCACGCAAACAGAGGTAGCACAGCTTTTCATTGCGTACGTATGCTCTGCGATCGTACGTTTTTCCCATCTTAGCCAGATCCTTCTTGGCTTGCTCCACTGACACCCCAAGGCACTGCGCACTGTGTTGGACTGGTGGAGCGACGGGCCGTTTCTCAGCTGCCTTCCGCCGTCCGTGCGCCTCCTGATATGAGACGCCAGTTGCCTGGAACGTGGGCATGTCCATGTGGAAGCATTTTCGTTCAATCAGGAACGCTTTCATCTCGGCTGGCAATCCATCCAATGCTAGCTGCTTGACCAATACTGCAAGTACGTCAGGCGCTTCATCGTCCTCAGCCTCTGCGTTGGCAGTGCTCGTCAGCTCTATCCACGAGTCGAGCAGCCTTGCTACTCTTGTTACATAATGATGGAACGACTCGTCGAGCTGCGTAATGGACTTGGCATCTCGCCACACCTTGTCCGCGGTCAGTCCGTGCGCCAGCAGCACTTCCCTTTTCGCTTCGTCGTACGAGGCACATCCCGAGAACGCCTTTTCCAGCTTGCTCCCAGAGAACGCTACACGCAGGTGAATTAGCCAATCGTCTCTGCTATACCGATTTTGCTGAGCAATATCCTGAAAAGACTTAGGTATTCCTTGATCTCCGTTGCTTTTCGCTCCTCGTACTTCGGAAACTTTATCCGGTTCCTCGGCGGGGTTGTCGGTTCCTCCGCGTTCACACTCTTCGTCGTGGGTCCGCGCTCAGCCTCCAGTCGAGAGCGCTCGGTCTGCGCCTCTAGTTCGGCCATCCGCTGCGTATGCTCCTGCAGCGTGCGCACCGCCTCCCGTTCCCTGGCACGATCCTCTCGATCGTTTGTCTCCGCCACTTTACTGTCCACGTACTGCGCGAGTTGTTTCCCTTCATACCCCAGGGCCTGCCCAACTCTCAGAAACCGCTCTTCCAATAGCAGTTCCCCCGCGGACTCTGTCTTGCATCCTTTTTCCTCGCTGGTTTTCTCCTTGAGCTTCGTGGCCATTTTCTGTCAGCGCCACGGGACCAACACAGCGTCTATCCTGGCGTGATCGCCAAAATGTGGTCCAACCGACTACAAGCTCACACAAACCAGTGGGGTGATATTTTACATTGCAAGAAATATGAATAATAGGTGAAACAAGAGAGAAAGAAAGACTATCCGTTCATCACGGAAGGAACAACAACAGCCAGAAAAGGAAAACATCGAAGAACCAAGCAGCGCAAGCGAAAGCCCAAACGCTCTCCTCAGCCGAACGTGCACGTACAAGTGCACCTACAGCGCACCCGCAGCAGCGCAAACAAAGCCACCGTACTGCACTAATCTACATGCATCAAAATAAGGACACCACATGCACTCAAAAAGTAGACCGATCTGCATAAGGGTACGCGACTAGTAGCGTCCGCGTAGCCATGCCAAATAAATGCAAATAAATCGAAACACAAATAAATCAACTAGAAACACCGAGTGCCTGCCTGCCCAAGTTCTCAAGTCCTTTTATTACTAGGCACTTCAGTCACGTGACACGACCTGTCAAAAGTGCTAACGCTGAATCGCGTACATGCGTGGCACCACGGAAAGGCGCATGCATAGATCGATCTCTAGCTGCACGGAAGCTGCGCAGGGCCTTCTCGTGTGGCGCAGCATGTAGCTGAGGCCCTCAGCTTTCGTTTGAGCCCACATACGTCATGATGCGGCAATTTTTTGAACTCACGTACAGTTCGAGTAAAATCGGCAAGGATTTTTTGGGCATTTCACTTGATTGCACGCATTTGCCATTTAGCTCATCGTCTTCAGCGTCGTATTTCCTTTCGGAATCAGTTGTCCTCGTTTGTCCAACACTTTGCGCATTGCTGCGCAAGAAGAAATAATGCGAGGTGTTATTGAAAGCGAGCCGCGACAGGCGTCCTCCCGGCAGTAGTCCTTGTTCGTCGGAGCCCATGCGCATGGCTGCGCAAGAAGAAATATTGCCAGGTGTTATAATTATATTGGAGTCGCATCGGAGCAGTCGTCCTCTCCTGCAGGCGACGAGTAGGACAGTATATACTTCGGCGACTGGACCAAGAGAGCTGACATCAAAACGGCCTGCTTGGAACAAATCGTCAGCTGATCAGCAGGTGGCTTCCAGCCACCAAGTAAAGCATTGACGGTGATATTATACCAAGAATCCAGCACACACTCTATGCACAAAATCTCTCATGCTGGAGTTGCTGAAGTTTCAGTAGTCCCAAACATTTGCAAACGATGTTCTACATGTAATAGTTTGTCATTTCTTTCCGTCAAATACGCGGTAAAATTCTAGTTTGCTCAGTCTTCGGCTCATTGTTCTTCCGTATTCGTCACCACTTCAGTACTGTACATGTAGCAACAATGTGTTCTGGCACTGAATTATTGTAGTTACTTTATCTTACCTCAAAGTCTCATCTTATGCTTTTCCAAAGGCTTCTCTGCACTGTTTTCATGCTGTTGCGATGGAGTTGCTATGGAGTTGCCATGGTGACCACACCCGATATCTTCGTCTGAGCTGCCAGACGGATGAAAAATGCGAAGTTTTTCCAAACCATGCTGTTTCTGCATTCATCTGGTTATTTTGACCTGCTTCCAGCGAGCCTGGTATTTTGCCACTATAGACACTGAAGCAAGTCCTACCAATTTCTGATATGCTGCCTGGTGCCGTCGAAATACTGAAATTGCCGTTATTCAATTCTCCGACTTTGGATGGCTATATCTCTGTGCCAAGTTATTCTTTTTGCTTCAAATTTTCTGTGGAGTCTTCCTAAACCTATCTGAATCGGATACAAGAAAGAAATACGAGTATTTCTGGTTTTGAAAAAGCCGCCTGAAGTGCCTATTATTATTATATGGCACTCGTTGCACAACAATGTCCACTAACACCACCAGTTACATAACAATCAGCTCATGCGATAACATTGCACGACACTGACCGACGGTACTCTGATGTTCTACAACTAACTGGCTAACAGCTCTAGCACATCTTGGATGCGCACTCCAACAGCCTTCCAACTTGACAGGTTCTAAGTAATATGATAGCATAAGGAGGGGAAGGTGAGCGCAACCAAGGCGAGCACGAGCTGAAAGTCTCAGCTGTGAAGGACGTTGGCGGATGTTCATGCATGTCGATGACGATACTGGCAAGACCATTGGACAATACGGTCAAACCACGATTCCAGGACGCAAAGCAACATTCCACACAACTGTTGTGGCTCAAAGATGCGAAGAGCAGTACTATGTTATTCTGGTGTTAGTGGACATTATAGCCTAACTTGTAGTTCCTTGGTCCTTTTTCTTTTCTATAAATTTAAGTGAAAGTGTGTTCACCAATTTTTCGGCCATGGCCCATCATCAGAGTCGACACACTTGTAAAGTTTTTTTTATTAAATCCTGGAACAAAATCATCTTCCGCTATAGAGTAGACATGCCCACCGTCCAAATACGCGTATGTGTGCGCGCGCCTGTTTTGTTATGCCTTTCTGCCCGCCACCCAGCCTGTCAGTCTAGCTGGCCGGGCCAGTGCCTGTGTGCACACACATATCTTTCCAATGACTTTGACAGTTGTGTGATGCCCTTACCATGGTGTGTTCGAAGGTCAATCCACCTCCATGGGGATACTAGGTCTCCAACTTGAACAGAGAATTCAAAATTGACACCCACGGCGAGATACTGGAACACATCAAGTGGAGCCAGGAAGCGTAAGGTCAATCTGTCGCGCGCTATCAGTAAAGCTGGGCCCGGCATGATCGGAACGTTCCCTGGCAAAGTGACATTCGGTAGTGAGATGTTCGCCGTCCGATCCCCAATAGATACCGGTAAGAGATTCCCGCTTGAGTCTGTCCACGGAAGCACAGGATATGGTTCTACAGCAGAAACAGTCAGAAAAAATGAAAATCTTGCATTGCTTTCTTTCTGAATAGAAAAATTCCGGCGAAGGGTGGAGCAAAGTAACAAAGTTTTAAATAATGAGTTTCAAAATACTCTTCCAAACATGTCAATGGTCTGAACAACATCCCAAGTGATATTTTGCCCTGGAAAGCAATATAACAGTGGTACTTTTCAGGCATTAGGGACCTTTCACACCACGCGTACGGATACGAAACGAATGCTGATTCGTCACCTGGGTTCGGGGATTCGTCAGAGTCCCTGCGGACCGCTCGTTTTCACCAATGGAAGCTTCTTCATTCGTGGCGCGCTCCGAATCCACCAGGTACACATTTTTTTGCCAGGTACACATGTTTCGCCAGGTACTTCCTCCGTTAACAAAAACTTCGTGATGGATTTTTGAGGGACTGGTTTGCTCACAAACTGCCGTGAAACGAGCCGCGATCACTTTCTCGGCCTTCCCGGCATGCCATGAAAGAGGTATGATGCAAGGAAAGCGACCTTTCATAACAAGCCCAGCGGAATCGATGGTTGCGCTGTGGCAACATAGGTGATGACAGTCATGGCAAGCGAAACTGAAATACCACTTCTCCGAGGGGATATTGCGCTGCGTGGCCTCTCTACTACTCTAGCACTGAGTTTGAGAGTGATAGAGAGCGATGGAACAGAGCAGCGAGTCCACACAATGAGCGAGTGGACAAGGAGCTGCTCCGATCACACAGCGCAATGAAACAATTCTGATTCCAAGTTCTTGTTCAACCTACGCAAAGCCCAGATTCGAATGCTGATGACTATGAATTCTTTCAGAAGTCTGCAGTCTGACGCGAGTCTCATGGCTAATGAAAGTCGACTGCACTTGCTGGCAGGAGTTTCCACCAGAGAAAAATGGAATCAGTTAGGCTGTGCCTTTACTCCTCATTTCGAGGAGTGAGTTTGGCTGTGCCTTTACTCCTTGTTTTGAGGAGTTCTGGGGAGCGGAGATGAAACCAAGGAAACGAGTAATCGCCACCGCGGCGGATCACGCAGCTTGAAAGCCAACTTACTTGAACGACGGCGACATCAAGTTCAGCGGAGTGTGATCAAAGAAGCCAAGGCAAGGCTGAAACGAGCTGAACAACGACTCGAGACAGATGACGACTCGCGTACAGCAGATGACGACAGCGACGCAGGGTCAAAAATGAGTTGAGCGAAAAGCGGCACAAACGGAACTCTCTGTTCATTCCGCCAACAATTTCTCTTGCAAAGACGCTGTGCATAGGCTGAACTACCTTCGTCCAGTGATTTGCAGTCAATACAAACTGTTCTTGACCTGTTCTAAGCATTTTCATATCCATCAAAATCCATCACGAAGATTTTGTTCACGGAGGAAGTACACATTTTTCCGTTGATTCCATGATCCATGCACGTGTGCGTGTAAACACCCGTACGCCAAGCTACCGGCCATATTCATAGTTGCCATGGACATTTGCATGACGACTTGCGAAACCTGAACCTGTATTCAATGAAACGAGAACGAGCTGAATCAAACTTTTGTTTCGCATTCGATTCACAGCAGATGCGAAAGGTCCCTATTGCCTACCCCAGCTTGCCCAGGCTCAACGGATGAAGGGTGAATTCCCCGGAGCACTGTGCATTGAGCAGGGAGTTACCGGGTGATTCCTTGCATGTTTGCCAACTGGAAGGTTTGGTGGACTTCGCGTGTACTCTGGATGGCAGTAATTAGTCACTCAAGAGGCAATTCAGGTTGGCTGGAAAAGTGCAAGCCAGTACATCGGGAGGAACACGCATTTCCTAAACAATATCGTCAGTGGATAAAGCTTGGGGGTTGTGGTAGGTAGTATAATTAATAGAGAGTTGGTGGTAGTGTTGCGAAATTCCGTTCGACTATTATTTACGGACGTTGTTGTATTTGGTCCTTGTCTCGCAGAGTCCAGTGTCTGATGTCATATATGGTCTAAGTGTACGTGTGAGTATGGTGTGATGTGTGACGTTTATGGTATGTAGTGCATGTAAGAGTACGCATCGTCAGAGTGTGAGGATCTGCTTCCGTCTGTGTGAGAGTGACTGTCAAGTGAATGCTGTACATGCGCAGTGCTAGTTTGGTCTGGGAGTGAGCGTCATGCGTGATTCGTCCGTGGTCTGGTTGTCTTGGTCTTGGTCATGTGTTCTGTATGTGTTGGTCCCTGATGGTCGGCACGATTTGTCTCCCCTTTATTACTGCTTGTTCTTTGTCATTTCTTCGTTTCTTCTCCCTTCGTCCTTTTGTTTTAGTATTGCGTTTCCTTTCTCCTCCTGTGCCCTCGTCGTTTGTTGTTAATATAAGAATGGAGACACACATTAAAGAGTTTGTGTTACTGTGTGGCGGGGGCCAGGGCCTAGGGGAGAAGACAAATGCCCAAACCTATTCGGTTTTAGTGGTGCAATAGGTGATAGGCTGAGAATATCTCTCAGTAGAGGGGCAGTAGTGGCAGAGGGCAATGTTGCAAGGGAAGTATTGCGTGTTGATAAAGGTCAGATAGAGTTGTTATAGGTGCTGGTCCATGCCTGGACCGTCTGCCGTTTTGAATGGGTGCTGCATGTGCAGTTGTGGGATCTGGGATTGGTGGCGAAGTCCATCCCATCTCGTCAGTCATTCGGTTTACCGATTTGAGTGCCGGAATTGTGGTAGCCGATATGTCAGTAGAACCCTTTAACACCGAAGTGCACGTATCAAGCAGCATGTACATCTACGCATAATCTTGCCGGATGTGGTCAACATGCCTCCTGGTCTGCCCCGTGATGTGGTGAACATGCCTCCTGGTCTGTCCCGCGATGTGGTCAACATGCCTCCTGGTCTGCCCCGTGATGTGGTCAACATGCCTCCTGGTCTGTCCCGCGATGTGGTCAACATGCCTCCTGGTCTGCCCCGTGATGTGGTCAACATGCCTCCTGGTCTGTCCCGCGATGTGGTCAACATGCCTCCTGGTCTGTCCCCCGTGGGGCCACATGCTAGTAGTCAGTTATGCCAGTGGAAGAAGAAAATAAAAGAAAGAAAAGTATGTGTGTGTGTGTTAAGGGGGGGGGGGGGAGAGGTATGCTCAAGAACTAAGATATCTCAGCAGGGTAAAGACTTACTTGGCTCGGAAAAGAGAGTGTGAACCAAGCTGATTGTATTCCTGAACCCAGCCAGTCCAAAACGATACACGTGCACCCAGAACTGTCCACTGCGGTAGGAGGTGGGTACAAAGACAGGGAAGTCGCTCTCCTGGTAGCCGCCTGGTTTCTGGGCTACAGTGAAGTTCGAACTGTTCAGATCCCGCTTGTGGATTTCCACCACATACAAAGCAGCAACCGGATCGGCTTGTTTCAAAAGCACCTTAAATGTGACTAAGTGACAGAGATGGATGCACAGAGCACAGAAGCAAAAAATCAGCCTTTTACTAAAGTCTTCGGTGGGTGCACATAAGTAATAGCTAGAGTCCACGTTTGATTCGGCGTACCAACTGAATAATATGTAGTCTCCTCGGATCAATACCATTGCCCTCATCCCCCCCCCCCCCCCCTCAGAGGACTGCATGATCTGAAAGTGTCATATTTTAAAGTCCACACTTCTGTAAGACGCAGGTTACAAAGCAAAAAAGTAAATTATTAGGGGTCAAACGGGTGAACCTTTAACTAACGAACGGGTAATTTTCTTAACGGGCGGGTTAACGGGTACCCTTTAGCAGCCATATTATTTTTTTGTGCATTTCTCACATAAATCATGATTTAAATTGGTATATTCTCAGGTTGTATTTTGATACATTATGATTCGCAATTGATTCGTGTATCATAATATTATTATGGCAATGAAGGTTCCAAATGAATGTCATCCGTGCATTTGCCCATGTACATAACTTCACAGGCAGTAACTTACAATCGTACATGTAGATGGTCCTACAAGCTACATGTATTTTGATACATGTACGCAAATCAACTGCAGATCGATGTGATTCAAGCCATGCAAGGCGTTGCATTCAGAAGATGTTCGCACCCATAGCTAGCTGGGGTGCCTGACACAGCTGATGCGCTGCTGGCCAGCTAGCTGCTAGTGCTAGCTTGTTGAACTCGTGAAATGAATCTTCACAAATCCGTAATCTTGTATGCAATATTTCGAACTACTTTTCAGCTCGTCGATTGAAGGAACAAACTAGTATCATACATGTAGCTACCACCTACGGACATCACCGTGTGTGACACTCCGACTGGTCACTCAGCCTGGTGACACTAGTTCATCAAGTACTGTGGCAGGTTCGATGTCGGAGAACCATCGTAACGTTCTAGTTACTAGTACTCAGCTGCCACCTCGAACGAGTTTCAAGTCTTGCATTTTCTCACATCACAATCAAAAACCTCCAGTACGAGGATTTTTACTTGTACTAGAGTGGAGAGAACAACTGTCAAGTCTGTCTTTCAGCCTGCTCCTGCCTGATAAAGTCGAAAGCGGGAATGCACAGGAAAAAGGAAAAGAGTATCCGCACTCCTATTTAAATTTTTGAGTCTTGGAATACGATAGGATCACCTTTTTTAACGGGCGGGTACCCGGGTGCCCGGTACACCCGTTTGACCCCTATAAATTATTATTGTGTCCCTTCTCGAGGGAACTCACGACGGCCGCTTACACCCGGCGAATCCAAAACGACGCTCCTGTTATGTTATGTCGTAATGTCGTACACCTTTAGCTCTACTGTGTAGGCACGCACGCATCTCTTTGAGAGTCTTCCCTGCCGTTTACAGATTGAATTTTCTCAATTTTTCTACTTGGTGTATTATAACTAATAAACTACTTGTCTCTTGTCTACCGAACATAACAGCTTCCAGTGAAATTTGAGTATAACTTCCTATCCAGCGGGGCACACTACTCCCATCTCGGTGAGGGCACGCAAAATAAACTGACAATCACATGCAAAATAAACTGGCAATACCAGTATCACATGAACAGAACTCTGCAGCTTCCTCAGACTAACACCATTTGACGCGGCATGCAGAAGATGGCCAGTTGTAATGATTAGGATTTTAGGCTGTACTTTCCCTTCAAGCTGGACTTGGTACACTGTCAACGACTAAGTATTGTAAGAATAGAGTGGCGTAGCAAGCAATAAAACGAACGCTCCACATGCAAAAAGTGGATGGCTCATAACGGCATTCCGAGTCTGATCCCCAAACTGGATAATCTGATGTATCCAATGCATTCTGGCTGCCCGTTGTGCACAAATTGTAAAACCCTCTAATAACTACGCCTTCTCTATCACTCTGCCTGTCTCTCGCAATCCCTCCCTGTAACTCTCCCCCTCTCTTCCTGTTTCTTCCTCCCTTCCTCTCCCTCTCCCTCCCCTTTCCCTCCCCCTTCCCCCCCCCCCTCTCTCTCTCTCTCTCTCTCTCTCTCTCTCACCCTCCCTCCCTCTCTCCCTACCTCCCACCCTTCCTCCCTCCCTCCCCCTCCTTCCCTCCTACCTGGGTAAACTCAGCAAATTTCATGCTTCCATTGCAAGCTGCCGGATGAATATTGATATGAGTATGTTATGGCAGCGAAGACTCACAGAAGCACAGCAAAGGAAAAAAAGTATACTTCTATCCAGCTACAAACGTACTTAGCGGAAAGGTGACCACCAGGGGCTCACTGTAGCCGGTATATGTGCTGTTTGCGCTGCAGCCACGTATGCGTATTTCATAGGAATTACGCGTGAACAGACGATCAAGAACAACAAATGACGGCCGGTTGGACGAATTTGTTTGCAGGACTTGATATACCTCATACACATCACCACTGCCTTCAATCCTGCCCTCGATGGATAGGTTTGAGTATTGAGCGATGTCTGCTGGCTGGGCACTGGGAAGGGAGATGTTGAACTGAGTGCTGTTGAACGTGGTGTTGACTGCGACTATTGACTGCACGCCATTCGGCCACACCGGGAAGGTTGGCTTAAAGACATCCGCTGTCAAGGACAGGGAGAGCAGGGAAGTGAGAGAAGAAACACAATGGATAGCATCACAATACAAGTCAGGAGAAAAGAGCTGCTCTGTGCAGCCAGCACCATGCATCTTCTACATGTGACTTGCCACTTCAGACATACATGCACACACGGCGCATACGCACACACATGCCAAACACACATACATGCACACACGGCGCATACGCACACACATGCCAAACACACATACAGGTACAAATATACCAAGTACACTTCATTTTATGTCAGGAAGAAATTGCTCTCCCGGGGATGTTACTGGTGGTACATTCATGCCGGCATCTGCAAGCATTTTAAAAGGCCTCGCTAGGTCTAAAATTCGCTTGGCTATAGAGGAACAGGGCACCGCCATTTGAATGGTGTGTCAACGTTGTGAGTTGAATATTGATGGCTTGCAAAGAGGTTCCACTGCCTACTTTGGCTTTGAAGGAAAGGGTAAAAAACAAGGGTGTGCTTTGAAATAGTGGGTGCAGCGGGCGTGACTCTTAGGCCCTCTACAGACTACGTACATAGAACATCCAGTACAAAATTACATAAAACCTAAAAGGCAACATTTTCCACGCCTGCATTCAGACTACACATTATACATGCAACATACAGGCAACCTTTGACCCTACACAATTGCGCAAGGGGCCTGGGCTGTACGAAAGCAGCCGGCAGTCGTACAAAGTTTGCACATTTTTACGACTGCCTTGTGAAAGTACGATAAATGCAGGAAAGTTGCCTTGTACAAGGGTTCCCAACAGCCCGAAAGGATTGGGCAGCTTTTTAGGCTTCCCGCCAGATTCTTGTAGTTGTCTTGGAAACTTCTATGTAAATGTGACTTATAGGCTGTTTTGTATCTAGTCTGAAGAGGGCCTGAATCAAGACCAGGCAGTGTTACTAGTACTATAAGCACGCCTACAGTTTTCAGGTGCTCCCCAAGTCGGACAGTGTAAATCGAACTGGACCCAACAACAATTGAAACCATGACGACCCACTCCAGCACTCACCCGGGATGTAATGCTCTCTCTTGTCCAATGAAACCGTTCTCCAGAAGTCGGATGCATCGCGCACATCCACTCTTATGGTCACAAACCAGTGAGGCAAAGCGGAGTGGACAGTGATGTTGTGAGGAAATGCTGCAGCTGATGGAAGGTGGAACGTTTGCACCGTTTCAAGTGTCCTGGAGGCATCATTGAACTGAGAAAAGACAATCCTGAACCCGGAAAGTCCTTCAGCTATTTCGGCAATGGCTTCTGGCAACGACACCCATATTTCTTCTGCAGAAGGACATTGTCATATCATTATTATAAACAAGGAAAGATAATAACCAAAAAGCAATTATTAGACAAAGATTTTTCTATATTTTAACAATTTTAAATCACACACTCTAATGCATACTCTAAACATTTTGCTGAGTCGAAGGTTATGTGCAGAGAAGATTGAGGCAATTGAGCGCTGTGTCCTTATCATGAATGTCACTCTTATCGATAGGTTATGGACCCTGGAAGTGAGGCCGAATAGGAGAGTGAGTTTCAGAGGTGTTCATCAACTTTCATTACTTTTCTAACAAGCAAAACTGACTGGCTGACAACGTCTTGGCAAGACCGAAAAACCGCCAGAACAGAATGGAAAATAAATAGGTTGTATCCAGAAAGATAAGCATGAGAGATTCAAATAAATTCAAATAACAGCAGCCACGTGGTGCATACGACGCATCACACGGTAAAGGCATGCCTAGTCCAAGTACGTCGCGGTGACGTGCAAGGCACAGCGAGTAGTAAACCTATTAGTATGTAACATGCGACATATGGAATGCATCACGGCGTCACAATCAGTGTGCCTTATCGGAAGACCTTCTGAGCAGACCCTTCTATTAAAGGGTTTGGAAGAGCCCTGTTTCGGGCCTGTAGTGAGTGAAATCTTGGCTTTTTGTTGGGTTCATCTAACTGTGGACAAGGGAAACGTTTACTGATCAAACTATAATGGAGGCCAGTACCATGCACATTTCTGTAGGCTACGGATTTGCACCATGCGGAAATTAAAGACCCTTTATTAACCCTTTAAGAGCCACAGGAAAATTTCAAAATTCTGCAATTTTTCGTGTTCCTTGGATCATAGCTTCAGTTCTACTCACTCAATCCTCACAATCTAGGGCTTCCTGGAAAGGTCTCTGCGAGAGGAAGAGAATGAGGTCGATCATGATAGCCAGCACACCGTCTATCCAGCGCTAGATCGCAGCGACAGCACGAAAAATGCCCCAAATGCGTCCAATTGCGCCCCGCTCCAGATATTTCATTTTATTCGATCGTGGAGTTCCAATTTTTTCGCTGTGTACTCTTGACAATATCAACAGTGAAACCCGTGCAAATTCGAGTAAACCAGCGTGACGAACAGTCTCAAAATTCTCAATACTAAAGTCGCACTGCGCGCTTTTGAAATTGCCGCGATCGCGGCTCAACTTACGAGTGATTTATCTCAGGAACCGTTGCTCGCAGCGCTTCGCGGATTGTTTCTCCCGACAGGTGAGAGTTTTCTCTTCGCCCTGGATATTTCAATCACTGGATTTGAGCGAGATTGGACTGAGTTACGATCTTTTGAAGTTTTGCATTTGAATGCGTCGTTTACGACGCATTCAAGTATGGGGCGGCTCTTAAAGGGGAAGTTAAGGCAAAAAATAAAATTTCACCAGTTGTAGGTTTCGGGGTGCTGAGTCGAATGGTCGTGGTCCGAGGAAGCTGAGACGCTCCCTTCCTACCTGAATCCCAATCGAACTCGCGCACTTCCACCGAAACTGGGTGACTGCGCCCTACTAGATGGGGATTTGTATGCAAAATGTCACTAAAAGCGCCATTTCGTTCTTATAAAAGCACGGATGACCGCGATTCAGGGGCGTACGCCGCTCGCCTCCAGGAGTGGTTCCCATGCCAACTGATGGACCAACATTCTTCACAATTGAAGTGCTGTTTTTCGTATCCCACGGAGTTTCTGCATACTCTCCTCAGACTGGGTGAAATTAACATCCACAAGCTGCTGGAAGATGTCATTGCTACGCATTTTAGATTTTTACGTTTTATGGATGTTTTGTTGAGCATGACGATTGCATGCAGTTTTGAAAGCTGCCTAAGTTTCGAATCATCTGTAGCAAACATCACACAGGGCAAGCAGAAGCCACCATTGCACGCTGGTCAAAAGACTACCCAGGGTAACTCCTCTAATAACAAAGATAGTTGAAAGTGACGCTGTTTGCCATTCGTCTGGACACGCACAGGAAATGAAATCCTTCGCCTTCGGTGGCGCACAATGATTATCGATGACGGAAATCTTTTCTGTGTCCGGCAATTTTCTGGGAACTGGATTCCACTGTGGACGTCGACGTTCAGAATATCCCTTCCAACACACTCCCATGTCACTGAAGTAGGTTTTGGATGATCTAGCAGCTTCCAACAACGGTCGCTCTACAGCTTCGCCGACAATTTCTTCCTCAGCGCTGCTCGTTGCATGCAGACTTCGCTTGCAAGTCAGGTGCGTCTGCATTCTCATCTATAGCTTGACCTTCGCCACTAGCACTGGCTACATGCTTTGCCTGCTGCTTAAAATAGCTCTGAATAGAGCTCTGGCCCTCTGGATGTCGACGCTTCATTTTTCTTTTCCATAAAGCGAAAGCATCGTCCAAAACACGACCAACTTTGTCAAAACAAACTGCAAAGGAAAATTTGATTCTGAGATCGAGGAATCCGGCGATGTACCTAGAGATTTTGTTGAACCCAGTTCAATAGGCTGTTATCACTTTCACACCTGGGCTACAGTCACCGTCCTCGGACCGTCAGGCGGACTCCATGGATCCAGTCATGCACTGCATGCACTTGCACTACTGTACTGCGAGCGCTGGGCCTAGACCTAAAACCTCTCCGTACCCATATCGAAGTTTTTTTACTGGTTCCCGGGCATCCCGGGAACCGCCCTATGTACGCCCCTGGCGATTGGCCCATATGTTGTAGTCTTTTGGACGCTGAGTCGACTGGTTTTGGTACGAAAAGGCTGCGATGCAGCGTTCCTCCTTTATTCCCAATCGAACATGGTTGAACAAGCGGTCACGTGCTCCTGCGTACGCCAGTCACCTGGTCACCGTGCCTGCATGGTACAACTTACTAGCCTGTTTGACCTTTTTTGGGTGCAGTCCTGTCACTCGAGTTGAACTCGAGTTGAACCTTGGTGTGAAAGTTGTCGCCTGCTGGCGAGGTGACCAGGTGATTTGGGCACCCAGGAGCACGTGACCGCTTGTTCAACCATGTTCGATTGGGAATAAAGGAGGAACGCTGCATCGCAGCCTTTTCGTACCAAAACCAGTCGACTCAGCGTCCAAAAGACTACAACATATGGGCCAATCGCGGTCATCCGTGCTTTTATAAGAACGAAATGGCGCTTTTAGTGACATTTTGCATACAAATCCCCATCTAGTAGGGCGCAGTCACCCAGTTTCGGTGGAAGTGCGCGAGTTCGATTGGGATTCAAGTAGGAAGGGAGCGTCTCAGCTTCCTCGGACCACGACCATTCGACTCAGCACCCCGAAGACTACAACTGGTGAAATTTTAATTTTTGCCTTAACTTCCCCTTTAAAGGGTTAATGCATCGTCACAGAGCAGTATAGCTATGCAGAAGACGTTACTTCAGTAACGTCTGGCGCTAGCCAGGGTCCACACGGCTTTAATTTGGTGTTTGTTTGTGTCACGCCTGGCGCTATCCCGTATCTGTCCCGTACCGTACCGTACCATCAAACACAGCTGGCCACATACATGTACAGCTGGCCGCAATATTCAAATAGGGCTTTCAAATGCAAGATCATAACGTGAAGCAACTAATTTACTTGGAAGAATTAGTATGTATGCGAGGTCAGGGTCAACAAGGCAAAAAGGCATAGCGTAGGGCCCTGAGCTTCCAAGTTCTCTCGTTAATGCATCGTCACAGAGCAGTAAAATTACGAAAAAGGCAGGCTTTTAGCTCTGATATGGCCCTTGGCTTTGACGTCGCTTATGGGTCCTCTTATAGATGACCATCATTTAGAAGACAGCAAAACTGACCTCATTCTAATGCACATGACAGCAGCTGGAGTTTCAGCGTTGATAGCCGAGCTAAGCGCCCGCCTCTAGGGATTAGCGCAGATTTATATGTTGCCGGGCTCAGTTTAAAGTCCATGCACTATAATTATGATGTCCAGCACCCTAGATAGAGTCCATTGGTCCAAAATCCCCTATACAGAGTCCAGGAGTCCGCTCAGTTTTGATCAGCTTCATCCACCCGCGTAATCCCCTATAGTCCAGTAGCCAGGCCCCATAAATATTCACACCTGTTCCCACTTCCAGTGCACAACAAATTGACACTTAAAACCTGACCATGACACCTAGCACTCCCTAAAAATCACGTTATTTCCTTTAGATTCAGGATGCGGGGGCATAAAAAGCGGAAGAAATTGTTTCACGTCCGTAACCATTATTATTATTATAGACAACACCTCATGGCATGAGAAGAAAATCAGCCAGTATGGAAGATGTGGGTGTTAACCAACCATGGTGAATAAAAGAAGAAAAGTAATGGTCAAGACGGAGAAGCATGGGAGGGACAGGTGATGGTGAATCTAGTGAGCAGATTTAAATGCGTCCAGGGTACTGGCATTGCGCGTAATAGCGGGCAGCGCAAGCCAAGCAGAGTAAGCAACAAAGAGTGGAGAGCGTACAAGGGAGGACGTTTTAGCCAAGAGGAGGGCAACAGAGCATCTTGTCTGGGAGCCATCTGTGATTCGGAACCAGTTATACACGTTAAGATGAGGAGGATGTAGAGCTAGTTTAAATTTGTGAGCAAAAGTGCAAAATTAATTTTTGACGGTGGGTCGACATAGCAACGGTATAGTAACAGCATAGTTACACTGGAGTGGGCAAACACAAAAGACGACAGAGGCCGGCCCGTAAGGAGCTTGGGCTGGACTCTGACCAGTGGCGTTCGGCGTATTCCTCCACTCAAGGAACGCACGTTAAAAGGAATCCACGTTAAAAGGAATCCACGTCGAGATCGCCATTGCTAGTGGTTTTGTAAATCAGCGACTTCATTGCTTTCACAGCATTCTCGGCAAGCCCATTCGACTGCAGATGATGGGGGGGGGATTAAGCGTGACGAATGTCCCAGGTATCACAGAACTTGGCGAATACATGGGACTGGAACTGAGGGCCATCATCACTGGTAAGTACCTCGGGGACACCAATGTCAGGAAACCAGCGGCGAAGAGACCGAATGACGTCTGCAGAGGAGGCAGTGCGTCCGAGCTTGGCAACGCAGGGCCAGCTGGTTAGGCGGTCCACGTACACCAGATACTGCAGGCCTTCATACTCAAACAAGTTGGCGCTGCAATGCTGGAATGGCAGGCTTGGAGCACGATCATCCACACGGAGTGGCTCCTTCGGTTGTGAAACGCTGTGCAGGCGGCATTTGTCACAACTACGGACAACATGCTCGATGTCGGCTGACAATCGTGGCCAGAAAACAATCTGCCGGGCACGGGACTTTGTGCGCATCAATCCTTGACAGAATGCGAGTAGATCAGACAGGCCACGCTGCCGGAGAGCGACGGGAATCAGGAGACGAGGTCCTTTCATCACTAAACCACTGTCAATAGAGAGGTGCTCGTGGCTGTTCCAGTACGGCTGGAGTGACTCAGGCATGACGGACCTCTTAGCAGGGAAGCCAGACACAATATACTGGACTAGGCACTGGTAGTCAGTGTCGGCCTGGGCGGCGGAGCGGAGCTCGTGGTACTTCAGGCCACCAGACGTATCGAGCGTGCACGTGCGAATAGCAGCGCCCTGAGAGGCAGTACTCTCACCCAGTTCGTCGTCAGGGCAGGGGTCGCTGACTGGATGGCGGGACAGAGCATCAGGGAAAGCATGATCCGTGCCTTTCCGCCACGTTGCGTCGAGCTGATAGGTCCGAAGTTTCAGGACGAGCTGCAGCAGCCGGTGATTCTCTATCTGATCCTAATAGCAGGAGTTCAGAATAGGGATGAGCGAGCGGTGGTCAGTAACAACTTCAAACCGAGATGCACTGCGGCTTATGCCAATGATGCCGCCAGTCGTCTTGGAGGATCTGTTGATAGACTGCTCTATCGCGATGTCTGCAGCCACCTTTGCGAATGCATTGCTGGGCTGTTGCACTGAAAAGCCACCAGACTGCAGGAATTCTGATGCTTCTGGATGTGTGGATGGCAGCTTCATCATCTACAGCCAGTAGAGGCCGAGGTATCTGGCATAGTTATGCCTATCGTATTCGAAACACCATGGTATTATCTCCAGTAGGCATGACAGATGAAGTGGCCAGTCGCCAACTCTGCTGGAGCGGATCAAGCGCTGAAGGAGCAAAACAAGCTCAATATAGCTACACCAGAACTTGAACATCGCTGAGGTCTTCTGCTGCTGCTTGCAGTATTCCATGTAGCTGGAGTAGAGAGCAGAAAGCGTGTCGCTTTGCAGGATGCGGGATACATTGTCACCATTGATGCAGCCTTGAAGCTCGATGAATGCATCCTTCAAGCTGTTGGACTCCTGTACCGATTCAAGCGACTGGACATAGGCTTGCCACCGCAAACGCTCAAGAGCCTCAGCAACGAGCTTGTGCATGCGAACACCACGGTTGTAATGCCTGCCATCCAGAGCAGCACTGGCACTAGCAGAACCTCCGACCTGTTCCTCTACGACGATATCCAGAAGGCCGGCATCGCGGAATCTTCGACCAATAATGGACAGAAGCGTTGACGCAATATGGAATGCTCCCATTCTCAGAACAACACTTCGAAGCTCAACGTCCCTCTACAGAACAATGTCCACTGCTTTCGCATAGATGGCTTGGTCAAAGACCACGATGGTGAACAGGAGGTGTGCTTGCTTCGCCATCTCTACCGATCGCGTCAGGACAGCATACACTGTTGCCATTGCCGTGGGAGAGGAGTTGATGACTGGACAGTATGTGATTGTGGCAAGCAGAGGTACACTGGCTTTGCTGGAAAGAGCATTGAAGGCTGTCCAGCCAGGAATTTGCTGATCCTTCGTGACTGCATTGGCAGAGTAGGCATTCCGCGGGCGCAAGAACAGGTCTCCATCGAGGGAGGAACGAGCCAGTGTCCAAATGAAGTCCAAGTGTCTGGGCTCTGCTGCAACAATTGGATTCGGCACAAGGTCCGAATCACTATTTGGGATTGATCCTGGATAGCCCCTTCCCGCTGAGAACTCTTGGAGCGGAAGAGATGGAATGGACGTTGCCCTCTTGTGCTTTGCGGAGAGGACCAACGGTGCTTCTGATTGCGTTGTCTGTGGGAGTGCATTGGGTTGCACGACAATGCCGTTGGTGCAATGCGTTGTCTCCATTCCGCTCAGAGTTTCCTCATTAAGGTCATTATTATCCCAGACGAAGAAGAACGGTTGCTCCTTGTCGATGCTGGGAGTAGGAGCGGACGGGTGGGATTGCTCCCTCGCGATGTGTTCTGCCATTGCCGTCTCTGCTTCCAGGACCTGGCAGTATGACATGCAGTGGCCAAGGCGGTTCAGGATATCGATCGTCCTCCTGCTCCTGCTCATGTGGTGTAGAGCCATGGACAACATAGTATGCTTCACTGTGCGATGGCCAGTCGCAGAGAAAACTATGTCCTGTGCCACAGAAGCCACGCGGCGCTTCACATCCGCACTCAGACCATCCAGCACTTGATCGTATCTACCTATGTCACGGCTGTTATCATCGATGATCAAGGCCAGTACATTGTACAGCGATGCTGTGAAACAACATGTCTTGCCTGGCTGAGGTGGCTTCCTGAAGCGGTTGCTCCACCCACACTTGTGTTCGACTATATCCCGCTTCACTATCTGTGCTGCGTGAAATATAGTCACCAGATCATTGTCTGGTGTCCCGCAGTCGCAGCGCATATACTCAGCGCCAGTTGCTACATCATCACCAATGCCAGTGGCGAGTTCTCCAAGCAGTCTTATCAAACTCGGAAGGGCACTTGAGGCATATACCAGCTCCGGCGCATTAACCTTGAGCGGTCGAACGAAAAGCATTGCTTCGCCAAAGTGGTTCGCGACGAGACGTTTGATTTTATCGCTGCGGACACCTGTGCACATTACACTGTTGCTTTCCATGCATTCGGTGAACAATGTACACAGATGGTGTGTTGAGAGAAGGGAGCAATGATCAAACAACTTCGTTTTCACATCGTCCAAGACGCTGTCAATGGCCGCCGTCTCTGAGCTGCGCTCTGGAAGAGACTGGTCCTCACCATGATCCAGTTCCAGGATACACGTATACAATCGCGCTAACACTGTCGGTGGTAATGCACTTCCCGAGCTATCAAGCTGGACAGCGCACCAACAGCGATTATTATTGCCCAGTCATTCTTGGCATGAGCAGCATCTAAAACATTCTGGGCGGCGTTCTCTGACTGGCAAAGGGATGTTTTCTGATATTTGTATTTTTTGCCTAATTTTAGTTTGCCACAAAATATGCATTCATGACGACCAGGCTCGACCACTGGAACGTCAATACTCTGCCTCGTTGTTCTCCTCATAGTCTCTACGCTGGCCTCTCTAGATTCCATGTCACGATCAAGGCATCATCATCATGATCGAGCTGATCCAATTCAGAACACTTGAAGAAAATATGCTAGTTAACTCAAGAGAGATTGGAAGCTTTGTCACAACTCTGAGTTTCACGTATTACTACGATCATCAGGCAAGTCTGACCAATTGAAGTGCCAGGACATTTTGTAAGAACTACCATGATTTCTTATCGCATGGCCTGTAGTGAATTTTGGACCAATGGACTCTATATAGGGGATGGGCATCATATAGGGGCTGCACGCTCTACTGAGTCCGACATATATTATCTAGGAAAACAGCTGGTCCCACCCAGCAAGGCTCAGCTGGCGGGAGGAGTGGACTTAGCAGTGAGAGTACATACCATATGATGAGCGAACTGAGAATGGAATCGGCGGTGACCAAAGAGTTGTCGCACTGGAGGTAGGCGAGAAACTGCTCATAGACCCTACTGCAGCCCGTACTCGAATTTCATAGCCTCCATCTCTCAAGGGCAGACTTCTTGGAATCCATGTGACATTGCTTTGATGTGATTCCAGCAGAGAATTAGCCCAGTGTGACAAATTGAATGGGCGTATCTCATACTGGACCCACTGGTACACACTCCAGTCCAGCGCGGTGAGGCCGGGCAGGCGGATGAACAGCCTGCTCATATTTCGACTCAGTGACTCAGCTCTGGTGATGGCACCCTCAATCCAAAGCACCAGTGTAAGTTTGTAAGGGATACCTGGGCATGTGCAATGCAGCAGAACAGAAGAACAGCCCGGCCAGGTCCAGAAGCACACCATTACTGGTTAAGATACAAGTCACACAGGGCACTGCAAAGTTCCCCTGAATCTTTACCCTAAGAGACTTAGTCGACGTGTACGGAGCATTAATAATGACTCCTGAAAGTAGTAATGGGGATGGTGCAGGCATGCTGCACATTGTCTTCCTGAGGAAAAAGCCGTGCAAACACACATTGCAAAACGCGGACATCAATACTGTGCTCGTGTATAACTAGGAGTACACAAGAGAGATTGGAAGCTGTGTCCCAACTCTGAGTTTCACGTATTACTACGATCATGAGGCAAACTAGGAGTACAAATTCGTGTTAGCGAAAGCCTTTTGTTATAAATCGAGTTTTGACGTTTCGTACTCTCACAGTTTGGTGTCTAGCTGTAATGCAAATGTTGAGGGGTAAACCCTTCGAAGAGTGGCTTATGTAGGAACAAACATGACATGGCATTCATCAGCATCACAATAGCTGTTCTCCACAGAGAAGTTTTACGGCATTCATCTGTTTCACGTTAGCTGTTCTCCACATAGATGTTCAATGGAGGAAGCCACATTCACTGCCAAGGCCACCAAGTCGCGAGCACTGACTATGATGAGCACATGGTGGACTCTGCCAAGGGGCGTAGCTCGCACATCTACGGTGCGGTGACCATTTACCACCGACAACGTGACAGCCGCCGTTTTGCCGGAATTACGCTTTCACTGCTTTAAGCAATGTTACATGCACCACGATACGACGAGGACAACGTCAATACATTATCAATGGCCCAGAGTCTATAAATTACATTAAAAACACTAGGCCTGAAACTAATACAGTCAGACCTCGCTTATCCGGTCCTCTTTTATCCGGATCCCCGCCATCCGGAAGAAAATCGCTCGTTACCGATGTGCAGCATACGTTATGCATGCAACATAACCGGATCTCGCGATCCGCATACCGGTGCATGATTTCGTGTACAAACTGGTTGAAAACAGCCTTCTTGGGTGTTCAAGTTCTTGGTTCTGAGCGTGACCGCCCCAAGAGGGGGATCCGAGAGGCCATCAACATCAGGGAGGGCCCGGAAATCAACAACAACAGGGGCTGGGACCTGCTATAAGTATAAGTTTCCGTGCATGGCACGGTAAGTGGAGTTAGCAACACACCAACATCCTTGCCATAAGCAACACTGGTACATGCATAACATGCATGCACTCCGAATTCCCGCGTTTCCGCACGGGACTGTGCGGAGCATGCGCATTACTCCAATTCGCCATGCTGTTGTTTCTTGCTCTTCGCTTTGCTGAGCTGACGGTCAAATTGTTTGACTATCGCGGCCAGTTTCTGATCAATATCCGATCAACCATGTCTCTGTCAGTGAGCGATGTCCAGCCAAAACGCTCCTTGCTTTGCTGCGCTGACGCAGTGACGGTCAAATTGTTTGACAATCGCGGCCAGTTTCTGATCAATATCCGATCAACCATGTCTCTGTCAGTGAGCGATGTCCAGTCAAAACGCTCTTTGCTTTGCTGCGCTGACGGTCAAATTGTTTGACAATCGCGGCCAGTTTCTGATCAATATCCGATCACCCATGTCTCTGTCAGTGAGCGATGTCCAGCCATAACGCTCTTTGCTAAATTTCCGAGCCATCTTCAAGATTATGGGCTGGTACGAAAACAGCTCTGGGGCCCTGGAGGGTGTGCATGCGTGTTGAGCATGCACTTTCAGTGGGCATTATTTTCTGAGTGGTGATAGTGCTGATAGTCGTATTGGCTGCGTTGACGATCGCGGCCAGTTTCTGATCAATATCCGATCAACCATGTCGCTGCCCTTTGAACTCGGGCTGCAGCTCCAGCCGTGCTCACAACCCACACGCCGGCGCCTCCGATCCAAGCCCCGGCAATTCGCGCAACGTTCGTGCGGCGCGGGAGCTCTCCCACGCACGGCAGGGCGCTCTGCCTGCTTTGGCTGTCGCCACGGCCACCTCAACCGCCGCAGGTAAGAAAACCTTTTATGCTACGGTGCCAAAACCCGTTCATGATAAGGTAGTGACTGGCCAGTCGTTGACTCTGATTGGGTTCCATATTGCCAAGTGACCAGTCAGTCCGAACGGGACACCAGCCGCAGCGTTTTACAACTTGACCACTACAGCGCCTATGGCCCAGTGGTTCTGGCACCTGAAAGCGGGCACTCCAGTCCAGGAGAGTCGAGGACATTGGCGCCTGGCTCGACGCTTGGACCACGTATCGTGCAACTTACGCAGCAGCACACCCTCCAGGGCCCCAGAGCTGTTTTCGTACCAGCCCATAATCTTGAAGATGGCTCGGAAATTTAGGCTACAGGCTGTGTACGAGTACGATCGATCACTTCGCCCCCGTTTCGTAATATCCGATGCTCTGGCATTGGCATTGTGCCCAAGACGTCTGGTGGTGTGCGCCTCATCATGCACCTACCTGCTCCTAGCGGCTCTGGCATTAATGACGGCCTTTCCTTTGACGAGGTCTCCCTACATTATGTCACTGTAGACGGCGCAATACACTGCATTTCCCAACACAGTCCCTGAGCTCTCCTCTCTAAAGCTGACACGAAGTATGCCTGGCGGCGTTGGCCTGTTTCCCCTCATTCTGGCCTTGGCATTTTTGGGGAGATTCGTACCATGTAGATAAGGCACCACCATTTGGCCTTAGATCCTCCCCCTTCTGTTCAACCGACCGGCTGATGTGGACTCTCAGCCCAACGGCGACTCTGCAATGATCCTGCTAAGTCTCTTACTCGTCTTCGAGTACAGCGCTTCCGGACTCTCAGCCCATCTACCAACGCAGTGCTGACACACCCTGCACAGTCCACCCTCCAGCAGTTCACGACGCAACCATGGACCTCATCCGCCAGGGCCTGGCGGACAGCTCCAGCATGACATGCGCTTCGCTGCGGCGCTCCGAACTCTTGTCGCCCTGCGCCAGGGCAAACCACACTCAGGGACTGATCAGTGCCGGCAGCATTGTTCCAGATCCTGTACTTTGAGTGCATTGCCCACTATGCTAATGGCCAGCCGCATTGGACGGCACTCACATCAATTGCAGTGTAATAGTAATGCAGATAAATACTGTTTGGGTCCGGTTGTCAGCGCTGCCGGACTCGCATCCCAACTGCCGAAGTGGTGCCGACACAACCAGCGCAGTCCACCCTCCAGCAGTTGACGACGCAACCATGGACCTCATCCGCCAGGCGGCCAGCTCCAGCATGGCATGCACTTCGCTGCAGCACTCCGAACGCTTGTCGCCCTGCGCCAGGGCAAGCCACACTCAGGGACTGATCAGTGCCGGCAGCATTGTTCCAGATCCTGTACTTTGAGCACATCGCCCACTATGCTAATGGGCAGCCGCATTGGACGGCACTCACATAAATTGCAGTGTGATAGTAATGCAGATAAATCCTGTTTGGGTCAGGTTGTCAGCGCGTCCGGACTTGCAGCCCAACTGCCGAAGCGGTGCCGGCACAACCAGCGCAGTCCACCCTTCAGCAGTTGATGACGCAACCATGGACCTCATCCGCCAGGGCCTGGCGGACAGCTCCAGCACGACATATGCTTCGCTGCGGCGCTCCGAACGCTTGTCGCTCTGCACTAGGGCAAGCCATACCCAGTGACTGATCAGTGCCAGCAGCATTGTTCCAGATCCGGTACGTTGAGCGCATTGCCCACTATGCTAATGGGCAGCCGCATTGGACGGCACTCACATCAATTGTAGTGTAATAGTAATGCAGATAAATCCTGTTTGGCTCAGGTTGTCGGCGCTTCCGGACTCGCAGCCCAACTTCCGACGCAGTGCCAACACAACCAGCGCAGTCCACTCTTCAGCAGTTGATGACGCAACCATGGACTTCATCCACCAGGGCCTGGCGGACAGCTCCAGCACGACATACGCTTTGCTGCAGCGCTCCGGACGCTCGTCGCCCCCGCGCCAGGGCAAGCCACACCCAGGGACTGATCAGTGCCAGCAGCGTTGTTCCAGATCCGGTACTTAGAGCGCATTGCCCACTATGCTAATGGGCAGCTGCATTGGACGGCGCTCGCATCAATTGCTGTAAATAGTAATGCCGATAAATCCTGTTTGGGTCATGTTGTATTTTTGGGAGAACAGTAAGGATCGTGAGTCAGGCCGGCATTGAGCCAAGTGCGCCTATATTCGCTCACAAGTGCATCCTTTAAGCCATAAGGGAGAACAGTAGGGATTGTGGGTCAGGCCAGCATTGAGCTAAGTGCGCCTACATTCGCCCACAAGTGCATCTCTACTGCATGCTTATGTATTGACACGTCTGGATTCAACAGTAGGGATCATGGGTCAGGCCGGCATTGAGCCAAGTGCGCCTACATTCGCCCACAAGTGCATCCCTACTGCATGCTCGTGTATTGACACGTCTGAATTATCGCCGGGCAATTGTTGCCCCAGTTAGTGTCGGCATTGGCCATACTAACGCACAGCGGTGCTTGCAATACTAGCTCTGGCATTGGACCAGAATATTGCATATTGTGTGCGGCAATTGTTGCCTATCTCCTGGTAATACAACGCGTTATAGCTCCCAAACAGGTCGGCTTGTGTGGTTGGTAACTCCACCTATGCGGCCAAAGTATTAGCTTCTAAGTTCTAGCATGCGTTCTGGGTGATAAACTCGGCGCATGTGTAGGGGTAGTGCATACCTTCACGTACCCCTTGGCTACCACTCTTACGGAGTATGCCCTTCCACATTCTACCATGGTCTACATCATCTTTCTTACTCAGTTACCTACAGCATCATGCATGGGATGTTATGATAATGACCTGTGCGTTCTGCCCGCATCAGTATCACTGTTATAATACTGCGAGCGCCGCGGGGTTCTACACACCTCACTGGAGGCGTGAGACTGGAGTTGTGCTTGTATCACTGCTGTAGCGTAATATCTACTTTCCTCGCTGTTTGTGTCTGTGTTGTCATGTACATGTAGTAATGCACCTGCCACGACATGCTTTGCACTTTCCTACGCGCTCTCTCACTAGGTACCGCGCTCTGCTTCCTCGTTTTACTGCTGTTTTTTCCATGTCCACCTCATTGCTGATGATGGTCATGAAGACCGGAATGTTGAAACGATACTTCTAATGGATTTGTGTGAAATGCTGTGCTCTCTTGAGTGTAGGCAGGTTGCCTGCAAACTTATTTTTAAACGGGTTGAAATGGGTGTTCAAAAGCTTCGCCGTATCCGGTTGCACGTGGCTTGCAGAAGCTACAATTAGGGAGTTGTACAAACAAATGAGGTCCTTGACCTGCTGGATGCATGCGGATAGCACTCAGTTGCATGCACTGGTCATTTTTCTCGCTTGTTTTACATTATTGTGCACGCGTGTTGTACCGCATAGGACCCGTATGCATGTATGTACGATGCCACCCCTTTTGATAAAAAAAGAGTAAAGTTTGCAAGTCCGCGTTACCAGCAGCTATACAAGCCCGTTTTGATGTACCACATGCATATACAGTATGTGTGTTCAGTTAGCCGGTTCCCTTGCCCATCCGGATATTTTCGTGGAAAACGGATGTGTGCGGTTAAGCGAGGTCTGACTGTAGAGGCAAATGAAACATTCTGACAAACTGCACGCTTCGTTTACCAAACTCGCGAACCGTCAGTGCTGCTCCGGCAATCACCAGCTAACACAGCTGTGAAATCTGCATAAGCAGGACCAACATGCCTGGTGGTGCACCGGCGTGTCCCTACCAGAGACCTAACACTAACCAAACCATCCTACTTACCGACAGCCAGGGCAGTGTGGTATTGAAGACGTTTGGTATTGTAGTCACCAAACTCACTGATCTCTGTCATTCTCACCGCGTAGTAGGTGGCGGTGACATTGATTTCCGTACTGAAGGGCAGGACGCCAGAGCTACCAATAAACGCTCTCCGGTTCGTGTTACGTGCAAAGTCAGGACTGAAAATTGCCATCTCGTAGCGCGTCGGAAGTGGTCTGGGCGATGCCAGGGATGTGGTGACTGCACATGCACATGACAAGACAACAGGATTGTTGGACAGTGTGCAGTGAAAATCTCAGATGTAGGTCCTGTTGTAAGAACAATCTCAGAATGACCATGACCACACTAAGAGTGTGATACGCCTCTCTATTCCTACCAGCCTGTGCCCTCCCCTCCCCCCTTGAAACAATGTGACGTGGCTGTCCGCAGTCAACCCTGGACATATGTTCCAGCTGCTGCGTATGAGAAAGCACGAGAAAGGCGTACAGAATCATCCTCAAGCTAGTCAGCTGCAAAGGCCAGTATACTGCAGAGTAGCACCCCCCCCCCCCCCACACACACACAATCATACAATATTATTATGGTCAACTTCCTGTACCCGAGGACGATTCCGTTTTATATAGGCTTGTATTGTAGCTCCTTTTAAAAATATTGGTTAAATATTTTTTGCCACCGCCACTGCCACAGTCAAACGTCGCATCAAGGAATGTTATATTCCCTGATGAAGCCCCCGGGGACAAAAAATTAGGGGGGATATTATGTCTTGATTTCTAGCGTAAAACTGTGACGTGGAGTGGGGATTGGCTGCAGGTGCCATTTGTATTTGTATTTGCATTTGCATTTGTATTTACGGATTCTCCACAGGCCTTAGCCTAAACCGAGAGAGTCTCGTTGTACTGGGCCAGGCTACCACGTGGCATGGCTCGAGTAAAGAAGAGAGCTGAGGATTAGACTGAGGTGATCAATACCAGGACGGGTGATGAATGCCAGGATGAGTGATCACTCCCCAATCACCTTGGTATCTGTGTTCACGGTGCAGTAGAGTGGACTCTGTATGGAGAGGAACATGAAAATCTCCACAGCTTGATTTGTGATGGCTAGTCTTGGGACAAGTGGCAAGTGGTACTGCTGGCACCGGTCCGGGAGGAGTCACTGGCTGCAGCAACTTCACTTCACTACGGTTTCGGCGCAGAAGATCGGATGAAGTGGTGATGTTGTATGACCGATCAGTGAGTTGCTCAACCATCGTAACCTCGCGCTTGTTGTCGACCCACACTTTCTCTCCCAGTGGCAGAGGGGAGAGCGACTTGGCTGCAAACCGTTGATTGAAGTGATCTTCCTGGCGATGCTTAGCCTCCTGCTCCTTGGCCCGGAGAGTGGCGATGTCTGTCCAGGAGGGTTGCAGGAGATCAGGTGGTTACGGAAGATTGGTGCGGAGCCTGTGGCCTTACAAGAGTTCGGCGGACGAGTACCCATTGGCCAGGGCTGTGGAGCGATATACTAGGAGAGACTGGTGTAGATGACCCGGCAGACGGATGAGTCGTTTGGCAGTCTGCAGGGTGCGTTCTGCTTTGTCGTCGCTCTGAGGATGCTTCGGGCTGCTTGTCCGATGCGTGACGCTGCATGAAGGCGTGAACTGGGCAAAGGCGTCGGAAGAAAACTGCGGCCCGTTATCGCTGACGAAGATGTCAGGATAGCCATGGACAGCAAATGTGCTCTTCAGGTGAATGATGACGGCTCGAGACGTAGTCGATGAGAGACAAGCAACATCAATGTAACGGGAGAAATGGTCAACGGTGATCAGAAACTGGTGGCCATCGATGTCGCAGAGATCCGATGCGATACGCTGCCATGGACGCTCGGGGAACGGAGTTGTCTGGAGAGGCTCTGGAGATTGATGGCGGGTGCTTGATGCAAGCACTTAGCGACGTAAGCCTCAATGTCGGCAGAGATACCTGGCCACCACGGCGAGAAGCGGGCATGGGCTTTGCTCTTCGTGGCACCTTGGTGACCATCGTGAAGCTTCTGAAGTATCTCAGGCTGTAGCACGGACGGAGCAACCAGGCGAAGGGCCGTGACACAGGACACCTTGCATGTGTGACAATTGGCCTCGCTCACGATGGAACGGCTTGATGTCGTCAGGAACAGTAGCTGGCCAGCCATGGGTGACGTAGTGCATCATACTGGACAGCACGGGATCTTCAGGCGTAGCCTTGGGTAAGTCGGCGAGAACGGAGGGACTCGTGAGATCCTCGGCAGTAGTTGACAAAACCATGCCGATGTCGTCTTGCAGAACATTGTAGACTGATGCCGATTCTGGCGCCCGTGAAAGCGTGTCGGCCACCATCAGATCCTTGCCTGGAACGTGTATGGCATGGACTTCGTGCCGGAGGAAGCGGAGCAGCGTGCGTTGGCATTGGATGGGAACCTTGTCCAGGTCTCTGGTGTTAATCAGTGGCACTAGCGACGTGTGATCCGTCTGAACGGTGAACTGGGGAGCGCTGAAGATGTACTGGTCTACCCTCTCGTACGTCCACACAGCTGCGAGGCATTCTTTATCTATCTGCGCGTAGCCTTGTTCCGTCTTGGTCAGGGAACGAGAGGCGTAGGCTACTGGGCGCCAGCCGCCATCGTGCTTCTGCAGAAGAACACCACCCATGCCGTAGCTGCTGGCATCTGCACTGACCATTATGGGTTGCTTGGGGTCGTAGTGCACTAAGCATGGGGCTGAAACGACGAGCTCTTTCAGCCGACGGAATGCGTCCTGCTGCGGGGAGTCTCAGAGCCAATCAGTGTCCGTGTGCAGGAGCTGACGGAGGGGCGCCGAGATCGTAACCAGTTCTGGGATGAATCTGGCGACCTACGTGAAGAGACCGAAGGCATCGAGGAGCTCAGGAACATTCGTAGGCTCCTTGAGGTCTTCAATGGTGGAGACTTTGCTGGGGTCGGGTTTCACACCGGACACGCTGACGATGTGTCCCAGGTATTTGACTGATGACTGCTTGAGGTGGCGTTTGTTGGGATTTATAGTGATGCTGGCGTCGGCGAGGACCGTGTGTAACATGCATGACATGTTTATTTATGCTGTTTATTCACTGTGTTTTATAATGGTTGTTTAGAGAGATTGGTACATATCCGGATTACACGCTTTTTGGTATTATGCCCACGCAGGTTCTTATCCTGTCATATTCTCTTTTTTTCTCTTTTTCTTTGGTTGTCTTTTTGCGCCTGCGCGCGAGAGAGAGGAAACTTCGAGAGAGAAGAGAATGTTTTTCAGTTTGGGTTGTTCTTGTCCAGGAACTGAATTAATCTAAATGTTATATTGTGAGCCAGTAGTTTGGTGAGTGGTACTTCTTGATTATGTTGTAACCTGCTAACATACCAGCAGTTTACACTTGGTGGCAGCGGTGGGATGTGGACCTGTAGTATTTTGTAAGAATTTTTTTTCATTTTCAGTTTTGAGTAGTCATAATGGCTCAGCGTCAGAATCGTGTAGCAGCTGGCCAACAAAGCATGTTGGCCTATGATGTCTGCGTGAGCTGGACGGCTCACGATGCTGTGCGACGCGGCTTTCGAACAGTCTTCGTGGAGGATGCAGCCGCCGGTGTGGAGGCAGGTGAAATGTCACGGATGAAACAGGAGCTGGCACAGCGTGGTGTTCGTTTTGTCCAGTCCGATGAGGTTCCAGGACTGTTGGCAGAGGCTGCATAGACCTAGGTGATCCTACCCAGCGTGTTGTGACTCAAGATTCAAGGCGTCAGGCGAAATTACTGGTCAGTCGGCGACACGAATTTTTCACAAAAATTTGCGTTTCACCTGCTGGGAGAGTATGCATGTACTCGAGTCTCATCCTGAGCACATTGTTTTCTTCTTTTTTTCAGCTCCAGTATAGCTGTATTTTTCGTTGCAAAGCCGTCCTCGATTGTTGTGTTCGTTGTTCAAACGAAGTGAACATTCAATCATGAAGGCAGAGGACATAGGAACCTGATTGGAGTTTCTCGTGGCATAGGACGGCCACACAGAGACACTTTGGGATTTTCTGAATATAAAATACCGTACGCACGATGCTGAGATCAATTTGTGCGATATCAATTAATTGTTTGTGATCTACCACTTCGAGCAGAACGGGATCCAAACACAAGCGTACCGACGGTTAGGCTGCTGACCTGACTGGATAAATGATCCCTCATGGCCAGCAATCAAGGACATCTGAGAGTTGTAATTTTTGTACTCCTCCGAGGTGTGATTTTTGGCGTGCTGGGCCAAGCACAAGGAAGCCATCTGCAAAAAAACTGCAGAAAATGGTTGTTGTTTGATCCTTTGGTGTAATCTTTGTTTCTAGTCGAAGCTAGTTGCTGTTTGGAGCAGAAACGCTGAAATTGACTATTTTCTGCATGTACTCATGTACTCAGGCATGCAGTCTCACTCGTATTTTAGCTATTTTTCTGGAATGGATGCTGCTCTGCGCCCCTTGGTGAACATTTCCTGCGCTCGTGGAGCAGCTGAAAAGGACCACTGGTATGTCTGGTTCCTGGTTTGAAAGTGGAGAGTCGACTTTTGTGCCTTGAAAAAGGAGTAGAGAGCGATAAAGGTACGTCTGTGGCTGATTTTTGAGTGCTCCTCGTACATTTTTGATCGTGATAGAAATTCTCAGACCAAAGTCAGACCAAAGTCAGCGCGATGATGGTCGTACAGTTTTCTTGTGAATTTTTTAGTTGTTTCATCTCGTATGTATGTCAGTATCGTGATGGTGAAGTGGAGAGGGTGATTTTCTTCCTCTAGGCTTCGGTCGGCCGACTTTTCTTCGTCCTCGTTGAAAAGTGATCCTGAAAAAAAGGTCGATTCGCAATTATGTTGATTTCAATGTACGAGATGACATGCGATTGCTGGCTATGGGCTTCACCAGACGCCAGAAGTCGGACACCATGTCCTTTGCCACGACGTCTATCTCCAAAAAGAACTCCATCTTCGTCGTGAAAAGGCTTGAAATACTCAATATTCAACCGAGATTCGCGGACTCGCGCTTTCTTGGATCGATTAATTTCCTGTTGGAACAGTTGCAGGGCAGCTTCCCGCCACTGTTTCAACAAGCGTTGGCTCCAAAGCATGCCTGGAACAAGCCATATCGAGGTTGCAAGCCACCCCTCTCAGCAAGAAATTCGAAGAAATTCGAAATTTCAATGGTGGAAGATATACTATGAAGAGAATTTCAAAAAGTATGTTTCGCGGAGCGATCACTCAACCTACGTCATTCAAACTTTGCAGGATGGTTCAGACGTATATGCTAGGCATGGAACCACAGGCGATGATGCCATAGCTGACACACAGAGTAACACACACAGCAGAGTCGTGTGAACAGATACTAAATTAGTGGACGTCGTCATCTTCTTCCCGCTGATCTCGAATGTACTATGACGTGCTATTTCGCCTGACGACTCCTGGTGCGATCGTGCCCAGCTTGCTTTGATCAAATGACTTCCAGAAGAGAAATTTAAACTTAGAGAAATCAGATATTTACCTTTCTAGTTATATCCATGCCTGTAATATTTATCCAGAATAATCGGCATCGTTCATCGAGAAAGCCATCAACAGTATTCAGAATTTATATCCTACGTGACCCAGCAGGTCAAAGTACGCACGTCAATGTGTTGTTGCTGGTGGCAAACAAGTGTCACTACAAATGAAGACAGCGAAGGACAAGTACCAATCCGGCTGCAGAATTTTTCGCCACAGCCGAAGACGCTCCGAAAGGGTACAGTCCTTGGCACGTTTGACACCGACATCGACATTGAAGAGGAACCACAACCGGACGCTAAGGCACCCGAGGCTATTTGTGGTCAGGTAAATGCTTCTACTGCTCCGCATCAACTATTCAACTTTGACAATGTTAGTCCGTCACACCATTCTTCTTTGCAGTCATTGCTCGATAATAATGCTGACTATGCATGCTCTAAGGTATGCTCGTTGGATATTGAGAGCATTCCACTTAACTTTTATTTGCTGTTATTCAGTATGTGTTCTCTTGTTGTCTCTGGTTGTCATAATCTTGACGGCCATGTCTGCATGGCCTCTTCAATGGAGGGGGAGGTGTAACGTGTATGACATGTTTATTTATGCTGTTTATTCACTGTGTTTTATAATGGTTGTTTAGAGAGATTGGTACATATCCGGATTACAGTCAGACCTCGCTTACCCGGTCCTCGTTTATCCGGATCCCTCGCCATCCGGAAAAAAATCGCTGGTTACCGATATGCAGCATATGTTATGCATACAACATAACCGGACCTCGCGATCCGCATACCGGTGCATGATTTTGGTTACAAACTGGTTGAAATGTGTACAAAAAGCTTCGTCGTATCCGGTTGCATGTGCCTTGCAGAAGCTAGAATCAGGGAGTTGTACAGGCAAATGAGGTCCTTGACCTGCTGGGTGCATGTGGACAGCACTCAGTTGCATGCACTTGTCACTTTTCTCGCTTGTTTTACATACTGTGCACGCTAGTTGCACTGCATAGGACCCGTCTACATGTATGTACGATGCCACTGCTTTTGACATGCTACATGCATATCCAGTATGTGTGTTCAGTTATCCGGTTCCCTCGCCTATCCGGATATTTTTGTGGAAAACAGATGTGTGCGGTTAAGCGAGGTCTGACTGTACACGCTTTTTGGTATTATGCCCACGCAGGTTCTAATCCTGTCATATTCTCTTTTTTCTCTCTTTTTCTTTGGTTGTCTTTTTGCGCCTGCGCGGGAGAGAGAGGAAACTTCGAGAGAGAAGAGAATGTTTTTCAGTTTGGGTTGTTCTTGTCCAGGAACTGAAATAATCTAAATGTTATATTGTGAGCCAGTAGTTTGGTGAGTGGTACTTCTTGATTATGTTGTAACCTGCTAACATACCAGCAGTTTACACGTGCACGTTGTGTCCAGCCGGTGGTCATGTTCAGCTTCGGTGGCGGCGTGGACCAGAACATCATCCATGAACCCCTCAGAACCTTTGACGTGGGACGGGAAATGCTGCAGGCGTCGCTGGAAGATCTCCGGTGCAGCGGTTATACCAAATGGCATCCGGAGGAATCGGAACCGACCCATATGAGTGATGAACGTGGTCAACTTGGATGCGGACTCTGTGAGAGGCACTTGCCAGAAGCCACTGTTGGCATCCAGCGTAGAGAAGACAGTGGAGCAGGCGAGCCTAGCCAGTGTGTCCTCAACTGTCGGAAGAGAAAAGTGCTCTCGCTTCACGTTGCCGTTAAACTTCTTTAGGTTCGCGCAGATCCGTATACGACCATTAGGTTTACGCACCGGCACCATAGCAGAGCACCAGTCAGAGGGACCCGGTTCACGGACGATGATGCCCATTTCCTCCATGCACGCGAGCTCGTTTGTGACCTTGTCCTGTAGAGGCAGACGCACATGGCGGGCAGCACCACAGTGGTACGGCGTGGCATCGTCAACGAGCTTAATGTCAGCTGGAGGCCGAACCATACAACCGATGGGCTGTGCTGGCACATGATTCTGCTGCATCAGGTGAAGTCGGAGACAGTCTCTGCGACTCAAGAGGTTGGTAGATCCAGGACCATCAATAACTACGATCTCCATAGAGAACAGATCATTCCTGGCTTGCTGGTACACGATTCTGCTGCATCTAAACGCTGGATCAGGCGAAGTCGGAGGCAGTCTCTGCGACTCAACAGGTTGGTAGATCCAGGACCATCGATAACTACGATCTCCATAGAGAACAGTTCACTCTTGTGCATGGTGTCTGCAGTGAACTGACCTTTGATGGATAGAGGTGCACCAGATGGACCAAGGAGTTTGGTAGTGGATGGTGTGACTACAGGGCGTTTTACCAGATTCTGATATGTGGGGTCCGTGATACACGATACATCCGCACCCGTGTCGATCTTGAATATCAAATTTTTTGAACAAACATGCAGACTTACTGACCAGGAGTCGGTGGACTGGGAAGGACTGGCGGTGGATTACAGCTCTGCCACGCCACCCATGAATGGCAACGGGGAGGCGAGCGATTCATTATCGACAGCTCTGGCAACACGCGTGGTCAGTGGAGTGGAAAGACAGACGGCTGCGAAGTGTCCCTGCTTGCCGCATGAATTGCACTTGTGACCAAACGCAGGACACGCAGAACGGTTGCTCTTGCGAATCAGAGTGGCAACACCACGGACATTTTCGAAGCGGCAGTGACGCTCTTCCTCTGCGTGGATGGAGTTGGTGCAGGCTTCGATGGAACGCCGCTGCGCTGGTGGCGACTCCTTGCATCTTGCTGCTTTCCTCCAAAGCGGGATGCAGCATTGACCTGCGGCCTGGCGGCTTGCGCTGCAACGTCCCTGGAAATGTTCTCGGCCTGCCTGGCCCTGAGAACTGCGTCCGTGAGGGTGAGTTTTGCGGGCTCAATCTGCTGCAGCTCCTTGGCGACTTGGCAATCCAGAATGTGAGCCAAGAGGCGATCTCGAATTCTGTTGTCCTTCTGGTCGCCGAAGGCACAGAATTTAGCTGCTGCGTGCAGTTTCCGAACAAATTCTTCCACGGACTCTCCTGGAAGATGGATGCACTGTTCTAAAATGGTCCTCTGATGAAACACGTTCAGTACTGGCATAACGTAAGCGTAAAGTAAGCGTCCAGCTTTGCCATGACATTGTCACACTTGTCCTCGTCTCTAACAGCGTTGAATACCAGTTGATTGAAGATAGTTTCGGCCTCTGGGCCCAGCGAGTAGAGCAAAGTAGAGATTTGCACTTTCTTGTCTTTCGCGTTGAGCTGTGAGGCAAGGTGATATCTTGCGAACCGGCGTTTCCATGCTGGCCAGACATCTGGAATGGAGAAGTCAAAGTCTGCAGGTGGCGCGAACTTGGCCATTTCTACTCGAAGTGTAGACCTGGTTGACTAACTTCTGACACCATGTTGTGTCATGTACTGACATAAGGAGGTGCTTTATTTTACAGACAGATGAGTGTAGATATAGTGAAGAGTCAGGGAGGCCATGCTCAGCAGAGCATGGTATCGTGCGTAGCACGGGGTAGTGTGAGGTCACATACCATCTATGCATGGCGACAGACAGGAGGACTATGTCGTGAATGGCTGAAAGGTTATCATGATACATGATAGGACAGAATCTGCTACTGGCCACGGGGCATTTGTGACTGTATGACTAATTTCAGGCCTTGTGACTGCCCCACAGGGCATGTGACTGCTCACAGGGCCTGTGACGACTGCCTCCAGGGCCTGTGACTGCCCACAGGGCCCTGATTAGTCACAAAGTCGTACACAGTTGAAACAGTTTCACACAATCTGGCGAATAGGAGTTCTGATGTGATGGTTTTTCCAGACGAAATACAGTCGATTCAAAAGTTTCGAAACATTAATAAGCACATCCCGCAGGACGTAATAAATTTATTGTAGAAAGACACATTGTAAGCAGCATGTGAGAGCATAGAATTCTGGGGCTGGACTCTGTACATTTCAGAACAACCTTGGACATAACCCCTTTCCTTCCCAAGAGCTTTATGAGTGAATGGTTCCGGAGAAGTACAAAATGCCTGCATGGATTTGTATACTGTCCAGACACCAATCATCTGGGTTTATGGATGAGATGGTATTGAAGAGACGCTCCGACTTACATTGCACAAGACTGGACTCCAACCGGAGCACTTTTCCCGGACCTTCAAGGCTACAATTGCTGAGCAGCGTGCTGTTTGAATCCTGGTCGCAATACTTAATTGTCACCTCGTAAGAACCATCTCTCAGCTCGCCAATGCTGAAAGAACCTGTAGAAAGGGGCTGTACAGTTGAAGAAGTCTTGCCAAGCCTGGTACCATTGAACGCATACACGTCTACCACAATGACATTGCCCAGGTCACCCATGGGAGCAGGGGGAAGAGTTACACGATAGTCAGTTGTATTGATACCGTGGGAAATAGGCGAACCAGATGTATATTCTGACGGAAATTCCGGAAGGTTGCATGTCAACTCTTCAGACAAAGCAAACAAAGGAGCACAGAAAGGTATGGTCGACACTGCATTGACTCTGAACGAGAAGAAATTACCACAGGAAAACCTGAGATAGACCGGCTTACAGAGTATCCCTGATACTAAGTACTGTTATAGCCCTATTCCTGTTGCCTGTTGTGGAACCCACGGTATTACCCAGCCTGCACTACTTACATCCCAGTCTCAAGTTGCTTTGGGACCCACAGGCTATTTGGATAAAATGGGGATGAAAAAGGAAAGCTAGAAGAATCGAGCAAAAGCAAAGAGTTCCATGGACACAAAAAGAACAAAATAGAATTGCATATAGTTGCCTGATGATCCTAGTTATGCGTGAAACTCAGAGTTGCGACACAGCGTCCAATCTCTCTTGTGTGTGTGTGTGTGTATATCTATATACAGTGCGTATCGGTTATAGCGTGGTCGTGTAAAAGAATATACTAGTACTGCTTACAAGAATGACCTCTCATATTTTCATAATCATAACATGGGTTTCAAGTGAACATTTATTCTTACAAGCAATGTTTTGTTGAAGAGAGAAGCAACGCAATATAAAGGGCCTGGGTAGCTACTTGCGTGCCCATGTTTGCCATACCGTAGAATCCCGCGGATAAGCCCATGGGCTTATCTGTTTCACAAGGACATTTCGTTGGGCTTATACGAGAACATGGGCTTATACGCGGGCATGGGCTTATACGCTGACACCAACATTGTGCTTTGAAAAGTACCAAGGAAGTGAGAAGTAGCCACTGTGCAAACAAAAACAACCGACGATTGTGCTGAAATGAACAAAAAAACAAAACAAAAAACTACACGTACATGTACATGGTACGACCATGAGTCCATAATTTATGGACTCTTGGTACAATTTAGGCCCATGGGCTTGTACGACGAAGCCTTGTGATGTTCGAACTTTCCCTGGGCTTATGCGCGGGCATGGGCTTATACGCGGGTGGGCTTATCCGCGGGATTCTACGGTAGCTACCCAGGCCCTTTATATTGCGTTGCTTCTCTCTTCAACTCTCTCTCTTCAATAGGCTCGCTCTCTTCAGATAATCTCTTTCTCACTGTTCAATGTAGTCGTTCCGTTCGTCCTGGTCTTAGTCATCCCGTCTCTAATAAATGTCGTTCCCATCAACCTACCTGTTCCTGTTGTCAGTTGTGTTAGTGAGTAAGAAATGTCTCTTGTTCGGACCCAACATTGGCGCCGAACTTTACTCGACGCGGAGTTCTGCCTCCGCAGCTCACGACCCTGAGATGTAATTTACGTGTAGTGTTGCTCCCGTCACTGCTGGACTGTCCTTGTTTATTCGTCACCCCTGTCCGTGTTCGTCGTGGAGCTGCGTCGTCGTGCTGTGTCGTCGCGCGGTGTCGTCGCGCAATGTCGTCCATGTCGACCATTGCTCGGAACCGCCGACCCTCGTCCTCTACCGCACGGCATTCGTCTCGTCGTCAGTCTCGTCTCGCCGCCAACCTCGTCTCTTCTATGTCAACCTCGTCTCGTCCAAGTCATGCAGGTCAGCAACTTTCTTTATTTCTCTCTTTCTTTTTCATCCGTCCTTCGTCGTCAAATTTAGTTTCGGTTTATTTATTTCGTGAATTTTTTTGTAGTGTGTTTGCGCGTGTGTGTTCATAAAATATTAGTAAATTAGAGGTCCGATCATCATGATCATGGTGAGCCACGCTCTAATTTTTGATGTTTAGCAGAAGTACAACTACGCTATTTTTAGCCATGCAAGCAGTATCAGTAGGTTCCTCGTCACATCTAGTTTCTTATCTTTAGACTTAGAGAAGTACAGGAACAATAACTGTAATGCATGATACTAGTAAACACGTTTGTGAGATCCGTGCAGGCGTGCAGTGTGTGTGTGTGTGTGTGGGGGTTCTCCCTCAGTCATTTTTTTAAATCTTTTTATCTCTTTTTTCTTTCTTTTTTTTCTCCGTGAGGACGCGGGATTCTTTTTCAATTAGGGGTGGTATGTTAGGCCCACAAGTAATTAGTTCATATTCATTAGTTCATGCCTTATTCATTTGGCCTGGGTAGCTACTTGCGTGCCCATGTTTGCCATAGCTACCCAGGCCCTTTATATTGCGTTGCTTCTCTCTTCAACTCGCTCTCTTCAATAATCACAATGTAGTCGTTTCGTTCGTCCTGGTCTTGGTCATCTCGTCTATAATAAATGTCGTTCCCATCAACCTATCTGTTCCCGTTGTCAGTTGTGTTAGTGAGTAAGAAACCTCTCTTGTTCGGAGGGTGTACGCGCCCTCCGTCTTTAGCGACCACCTGCTCTTAACGACCGTTGTTCCATGCACCGAGAGTTCTATACAGAAACTGCACCGGATACAGCGACTACCTGCCTTGCGCGACCAGCGACCGACTTTTTGTGTACCAAGTGCCATATTGGACCTGCACACGGCGACCAAAACTTAGCCAAAAGTAGGGTGTTCGGTGCCTCGAACCCAGGCGCATTTTGAGTGGAAACAGTTTTGTACGGGGTCCGTGGCACAATCGTACATCACTGTGCTTCTTGCCTTGGCAAGGTAAAATTTTAGCAGCTCAGGACGAGTTTGTTTCTTTGTTGGAAAGAGGAGATGTCTCTGCTGTTGAGACCGTAAGTCCCGTTTCCACACGACGAATTTTAGCAATGTTACGCCCTGCGCAAATTCAGGGTATCGATTTCGGCCTGTTCTGGGCCGGTCGCAACGCCGGCGACCATTCCATCGTCTTCAGCGTCGAAAAACTACGCAGTGTGTGAAATTTGGAGGCTGTACGATGCTGTCTTCTTGTTCTATGAGCGATCGATTTGCGCCAGGATACCAAATGTACATGTATGGAGTACATGTACATGTACATGGAGTTGATGGACTTGGCTGTAGTGCTGTTTATTTGTAGTTTCGCTGAGCTACCACATCAGATAAACCTCTGGTCGCTGTATCTGGAGAGTGGAGAAAGCCATCATGTGCAGACAAATTGGTCAAGAACAGATTTCCTGCCAATGCTGCGTTCAATATGCAGCTGAAAATCTGCACAGAATTGACACTCTGAGGATTTGCAAAATTGCAGCGCGCTAACGCAGTGCAGCTACGCAATGCCGTATGCACGTGTCCGGAGTACATTGTCATCCACATAGCATGGGCAATGTAGGGCCAGTGTATTTGTCGACTTTATAATTTACATCCAAATTACGCTTGCACAATCATCCGATAAATGAACTGTCTGTTGATTGTAAAAATCGTATGAGTGAATTACATGTGACGTGCGACACCAATTGCCCCGAAGTGCTGCACGCGCCGTATATGACTGGGAACAAGTAATTAGTTGTCCTTCTAAAGCTGACGATTAGCAGGACTGCTGCTGCCTTGGCCTGGCTGAAGCTTACATTGTGTTGCAATGGTGCAGCATACCTGTTAATTGGCTGCATGCATCCGGTCCCGCGGCGCAACATGCCCGGGTGCGGGTGCCGTCTCGGCTGATTGTGTATGTTATTTTCTTGGATGCTTCATCTACGTGGGGTAGATAACTGTAATCTCCTCCTGGTGATGCGTCTTTGTAGTACCCGTATTCCAATTAGCTTCAGCCTGTGAAGGGTTACATCTTTTGCATCTATTTCGACTAATTTGTATGCGTTGCTATGGTGGTTGCTATGGGCGTAATTTGAATTTGGCTAGATGGAATACCAAAATAATTGGTCAAGTGATGGAAGCTCTCTATTGGCTATCATCTGTGAATATTTGAAAGACCCTGAACGAAATTGATTTTCACCTTGTTCTAGTTGGTTTTGAATTTCCCGGTTTTGTGCCACTGGCCTGCATCAAAACTGTTCCAGCAAAAGTGCCAACAAGCGCACTTCAAACGACCATAACTCTTGAACGCCTGGTCGGATTTAGACAAACCTTATATATTTCCCGGCTAGTTTATCCCACTCTTTCCAATGAGACTAAAATCGAGGAGATCGGAGCAACTTTCAAAATCGTCCGAACACCCTACCAAAAGTGCCATCTTAGCTGGCAGAGTTGACTGCGACAGGGTTGAAGTGCGCTCTGAAGCAAGTGGATGCAGTCAACTGAAGTGACAAGTGACAGTGCAGAATGCGCTGCATGCACTCCAGTGAGGTGTGCTTTGCCTGCACGAGAGTATTCTATGCTTCACACCTGTCAATATGAGTGCATGGAAGTACAATAATGCACATGTATGCATAATCCGATATACCACGAATGTACGGCACCTGGCTTGAACGACCGCTTTTGCTTGCACCGTGGGGTGGTCGCTTAAAAAAACCAGGTTTTATTGTATATGCTGTGTTGCTGTGTATATCTTTAGTGGGCCTGACAGCCCTGCTGCAGTTAGATATTTTGCCTGATAATTGATAGCTCAAGAAACTCGGAGTAGCAACAGATTATGTGTTCTTGGTGAGGACTGATTCCACTGTGTACTAGCTCCAGTGCACCCCAGCGCTGTTGAGCCCTCTTTGCGGTGGACGGGACCACTTCCCCCTGTATATATTGCGCGAAGGAATCAAAGAACACAGCATGCACGGGGGCGCAGGTATGGAATACCATGGAATGCACGGGTCCTATACGGGACATGTGAGGGCAATGAGGTGCAACATGACTGGAATGAAATGGTACCAGTATGGACAAGGGACAGCAGGCAGGATGATACGTGATCAGAATATGCTAGTAGAGACATGCATTCACAGGAATTCAAGGCGACACCAACTCTGGATAAGTGCACCGGTGGAACGTGTGACACCAAATCAATAATCGGTCCTGTAGCTGACCTAGGGCCGCACCAGCCATCAGGAGCTGGCTCTTACCCTGAATGGGCAAGTTGATTGAGTTTCTGGCATAGGTATTGAATCATGATACATATACTTCCTTCCTACTTGAAAATGAACATTCTTTTTAATGCACCTGCAACTACTGTTGTGAACCCTCTGGTTCTCTAAAGTGTCAGGAACGAACGACCCCACACGGCACGAGGACAACTATTTATTCTCAACAGTATATTTCACTTCGATCGACTAACAACAATGAATAATTAACACTAAAACCACCAGGTAGTTATAGCGTGAAAAGGACAGCGTATATGAGAAAAGCATACACATACAACTACAGCGCACACAGCAAACCGCACATAGCGCCTGTACTAGGCTGTAGCGTATACCACGTCGTAAACATCAGTGGTACGGCGGAGTCGGGATACAACTGCATCGAAACGAACAAAATGTCCAGAGGAGGGCTCTGGACATCATCGGCCCAGGCACCCTCCTGGACTCCCTCAGTCTACGCCGCTCGGTTGCTGGCCTCACGTACCTGTACAAGCTACGCTCCACTGATGGCCCAGCGCAACTCACCGCAATGCTTCCACCTCCGGAACCGCCACGGCCTCATCCAAAGACTAGACGGCAGCTCGACGCAAGCCGCCACCCTGCCTACCTGAAGCTTGACCTCCCACACAGTGCCCCTAACTACATCCGCCGGTCATTTCCCTTCTGCCTCGTGGAAGTGTGGAACAGCCTCCCAGCAGAGATGCTCGCCAACCTCCAGGTTAAGAAAATGCAGGCGTTCAAAGTGAATGTTCACAGGCACTTGCGCCACAAGCACTGGCTTTGGGCAACGGACAAAAACTAACGCCACTGAAAATTCTCTGTCTCTCTGTCTCTGTCTCTGTCTGTCTGTCTGTCTGTCTGTCTGTCTGTCTGTCTGTCTGTCTGTCTGTCTGTCTGTCTGTCTGTCTCTCTCTCTCTCTCTCTGTCTCTCTCTCTCTGTCTCTCTCTCTGTCTCTGTCTCTGTCTCTCTCTCTGTCTCTCTCTGTCTCTCTCTCTCTGTCTCTCTCTCTGTCTCTCTGTCTCTGTCTCTGTCTCTCTGTCTCTCTCTCTCTCTCTCTCACTCTCTCTCTCTCTCTCTCTCTCTCTCTCTCTCTCTCTCTCTCTCTCTCTCTCTCTCTCTCTCTCTCTCTCTCTCTCTCTCTCTCTCTCTCTCTCTCTGTCTGTCTGTCTGTCTGTCTGTCTGTCTGTCTGTCTGTCTGTCTGTCTGTCTGTCTGTCTGTCTCTCTCTCTGTCAGGGACCTACGTAAGCTGAAGCATGATCAACCTATATTATTTGCATTTCTTTTTTTTCTGATCTTCTCTTTCTCATTTCTGTTGCATTCTCAGATGCTCCCATAAGTCTATCATTCATAGTATACCCCCTTGGCCCGCACAGTCCATGCCGATTCCGAGACCGAAATGGTCGGAGGAGTGCACTGCGCCTGATAAAAAAAATAAAAAAAATGTCACAAGCGAGAAGGCCTTTCACTCTCGAGAACTTGTGGTTTCGCAACATTCTCCCCACCAAAGGGCTTCTCACTGCTGTACCAAAACTCACGAGTCAAAAGCGACCGGGGCTCTGACTACACGCCCAGAACGAGTCATCCGCTTCTGTGGGGGTGGCCAAGGTGGAATATTACGAGTGCTCACCATTTCTGCCAACTGAGCAATGGTCTGCGGACTTGCGCACTTCAGATCAAGCTCTAACGTTGGCTTCACGAGAGCACATAGCGGAATGACGGCGGAGCTACCCAGGATCGTGATGGTGAACGTATCCATGTGCTGTTGGGTTGATTCCGCACCGAACGGCTTCACCTCAACATTCTCAATACTAACGTGCTCTGCATCGATTGCGGACACCAATGCTGCAGTCACAAATGACGCCTTGGCACCCGAGTCCAGCAACACGCGAAGCTTGCCGCTGTGGGATATCACACACGGCACGGTCACTGGGCCACTGCCTCATGGGGCGGACGCTGGACCAGATAACATACATCTGAACTCCATGTTCCACACAGTCTCGCCGCTCACTTCTTCCGTGCTAACCAGTATTGCCCTTCTCATTTCCTTAGCTTCTACGCCTTGCGCTTCTACGTCTTGTGCCTCTACGTCTTGCGCCTCTACGTCTTGCGCCTCTACGTATTGCGCCTCTACGTATTGCGCCTCTACGTCTTGCGCCTCTACGTCTTGCGCCTCTACGTCCTTTGGCCGAGGCTCCAGCTGCTTATGAGCGTCTCCGACCGATGTCGCCATACACTGCACCGACGCAGTGGGCCTTGAATCTGATCCTACCACTGGCTTCAAATATTCCTCTGACCGCTGCTTGTCTGTAAGCAAAGTCTTCCACGCCTTGTCCGGCGTCCTTCCGAGCGAGGCAAGCAAATCTCGCTTTGCTTCCTCATACGTACTGATGGCGATGCGCTCGTTCATCTTCTTGAGCTCTGTGCGGAGCGCACCCTCTTGCCGTCTAGCACCGCTCTTCAAACTCCTCGCACTGTCGGAGCCTCTTCTTCACATGTTCCCTCAACTCACCGCCTTCCAATCCTAACAGAATTCCATTGGCAATAAAGCGGGCTTCAGTGATCTATAGTTCCGGTGCCATGCTCGCTTCGTATCCTGGCGTGGTCGCCAAATGTTGTGAACCCTCTGGTTCTCTAAAGTGTCAGTGTTTTTACCTCTCGTCTTGATTCACCATTCCACAAACGTAACGTCATTACTGTATTATTAGAAGACTGTATTATTACTCTTTCATTCTCATGCCAAAACAGCTAACTCCACTAAAGCAAGTCCAAAAACTAGTGACCTGCACCACCGAAGCAGGAACCTAAAACCTCCCCAAGGAAAACAAACCCCCTCTACGCCTACGGATCACGGACTACAATCCCGATCCTAGCGTAGCGGCAAATGATACATACTAGTACAAGTAGATGACAAAAGCGGTGCCGGTGTTAGGTGACAGCTGCATACGAATGCATGAAAGGGGTCAGACAGTTCATGTATCATGTGTACCGGCAGTTGTAACTGGAGCCGACTGAAAGTCAATACATCAATAGCAGTGTTAGTCATACATGAAGCCCAGACTACAGAAAATGTAGCAGTGGATACAAAGTAAGTTGCATACGACGGGTGTTGCTTGTCGCCAACGTCGCCTTCGGGGGCAATAGTCAGGAACGAACGACCACACGGCACGAGGACAACTATTTATTCTCAACAGTATATTTCACTTCGATCGACTAACAACAATGAATAATTAACACTAAAACCACCAGGTAGTTATAGTGTTGTAACTGCCTTTCTCTACCTGCTCCCAGTCCCGTGCCATCTCCACACTTATACAAAGGGACGACGATAACTACATTTAGAAGACTGTTTATTGACACGACGACGAAACACAACTAGACATGACGAACTCAAGCTGCAGACTGTAATGATGACTCGTGACTCAAGACGAAGACAGCTTTTCACACCACAGCAACACGCGCATGCACCAACATGACGTACACAAGACGTACACAAAATAACGTACTACAACATAACTCCCTCCAAAGAGTAGAACCGTCCTCGATTCTAATAGTAAAACAGAGTAAAAAGAGGAAAAGATCACACAAATCACTCAATCATACCACACCATACCAGTCACACCCATAAATAAAACACCTCTGCCTGCACAGCAGATTATTTAAAAAAAAAACTATGTCCGCCCACCCAGAACACCAGCCACGGTCGCTGTCACACGTGTGGGAACTGATAACCTCAAAAACTCTAACTACTTCACTCAACACACCACCTCACAATCACGCAAAAAATTCTAAAATGTGAGAGCACAAATCATAAGAATAACAAAAAGAACAGAATCCACTGGCTCTGTGGGGACCTCTAGTTATCCTCATAGAAGAGCAAATCAAAAAACGAACAGAACACACGCGCTGTGTGGGCGCCTCATTACCCTCGAGGAGAGCAAATAATAAAGAACAAAATGTTGGGAGAACAGAAAATACAAAACTCACATACTCCTCACGTTCACAACAACACACGTACCCTCTCACCAACGAAACTCCTCACGCCGTCTGCCATGTCGTCCACCATCTCCAGGAGCGCTGCTCAGCGTCGACATCCTCACTTCTGGGCACAGTTTTACGTCGTGTCCGGGACCATCCGTCCTTCTTCTTTTTTTTTTAGCTTTTCTTCTGGGCACAGTTTTACGTCGTGTCCGGGACCACCAGTGACGATGACTGACAAGAGACGGGAGAGACGAATGATGAAGGACGAGGACGACGGACGAACTTCTTCAAGACGGACAAAACTGTGACGATAGGACGACTGGAGATGACATTGGAAACTGGGAGCGAAGGCCACGCAGGACGAATCCAGAAGTTGACAACAAATTGTTATCACCGCTGCCACCAATGTTGTAACTGCCTTTCTCTACCTGCTCCCAGTCTCAAGCCATCTCCACACTTATACAAAGGGACGACGATAACTACATTTAGAAGACTGTTTATTGACACGACGACGAAACACAACTAGACATGACGAACTCAAGCTGCAGACATGATGAACTCAAGACGAAGACAGCTTTTCACACCACAGCAACACGCGCATGTACCAACATGACGTACACACGACGTACACAAAATAACGTACTACAACAATAGCGTGAAAATGACAGCGTATATGAGAAAAGCATACACATACAACATACAACTACAGCGCACACAGCAAACCGCACATAGCGCCTGTACTAGGCTGTAGCGTATACCACGTCGTAAACATCAGTGGTACGGCGGAGTCGGGATACAACTGCATCGAAACGAACACAATGTCACAAGCGAGAAGGCCTTTCACTCTCGAGAACTTGTGGTTTCGCAACATTCTTTTTAATGCACCTGCAACTACCGTATTTTCTGGACTATAAGCCGCACTTTAAATACCATTATCGAATGCAGATGGAGAATGCCCAGTTACTTCTGGATGTCAAAAATTGACATCAATATTCTATTGGAATTCGTTTTACCTGCAGAAAAGGTAGGTGGGTGGGTGGGTGCAGAAAATTACTAAAACTTTTCGTTTTGCAAAAACTATTGGTAACCCCGGACGGCCCCTTATACTCGGGAAAATACGGTATAATATGCTGTGTGTGGATGGTACTCACGGTTGTTAATTACTTGTGTACGTATTCCTATGTTATCCCATGTGCCATCCACAAGCTTCACAACGGTGCGCACGACCAAATGGCCGCGGCCGTCGGGAATACGAATGAGCCTGAGGGTGGGGACCGGATTTGTTACAGAGAAAGACCACACCGTCTCCTTGCGTCGGGTCGCTCGGTTGTACCAGTCCACGGTCGTGTACCATTCCACCACGCTGGTAGAAGATATGAACGGAGAGAGGGTGTAGCTTGGCAAGCCAATGGTCACTGAGATGGAAAATTTAGAGGCAACAAAGTCGAACAGGAATCATTCATTCAGAAAGAATGCCTTTGCTGGCTGGCTGATGGCAGGTGCAGATTGACTGATATTCCACACAACGTGCCATTGTTTGAGACAAAAATACTACTGCAAAACAGGTAACGTAACATATCAAGTTAATGTGCGTGATTGAATACTTAGAAAAATTGTCTCTCTGGAGATTATCCTGTTATCTAGTATTTTAAATTCTTTCCCAGGGGACGTCTTATGGACCATTAGCCCGTGCTTCACACAGCCGGACATGTACATGCGCGTGCATGCGGACCCACACGCATGAACGAGCACACACAGAATAGTCTGGTTGAGTTAAATTGGATAGGTGGAGTGCTGGATTCGAACAACTGGTGCAATGTCACGTGACTTGGCAAATGAGTCGCAACGCGAAAAGACTCCGCTGAGTCGCAAACAGGCAATGACTCTGCAACTGAGTCGCAAGCAAGCAAACAGGGCAAACCAGTTGTGAGCGAACATCCGCACTCCCCAATGTTTTATTTTACTTGTATGTTTTTATATTTGTTTTTTTTTTTAGAATTGAATAGGGCAATTTACAGCGGATGCAAGTGCAGACCACATAGGCTGCAGAGAATATAGCAACATGTTAACGTAGAGCAACAGCTATAGGGTGGGTTTTGGTGGGGAAGAGAAAGCAAGGAGCAAAACTGTGAAAGCCAGGCAACAGCAGCAAACTCTACTTTCACAAAGGCAACACTCAAAGCAAGGCACGTGGGAAAAGTTTGGAGCAGAAGAAATACGAGGTGTGAGCTGCAACCTCTCTTGGCGCGGTTTCGGAGCTGCGCTGTAGATTAGCGCCGTGAATCTGCGTGATTGATTAGTGTAATCAAGCTGCCAGCTGGCAGGTGTTCATGCGGCGCTAACACGCTCTAGCCACTGGCTAGTGCGCCATTAGCCCGTGCTTCACACAGCCGGACATGTACATGCGCGTGCATGCGAACCCACGCGCATGAACGAGCACACACAGAATAGTCTGGATGAGTTAAATTGGATAGGTGGAGTGCTGGATTCGAACAACTGGTGCAATGTCACGTGACTCGGCAAATGAGTCGCAACGCAAAAAGACTCTGCTGAGTCACAAACAGGCAATGACTCTGCAACTGAGTCGCAAGCAAGCAAACAGGGCAAACCAGTTGTGAGCGAACATCTGGGAATCCAGCACACCACGTAAATATTCAGAATTGGTAGGCCAAAATTCAGACCAAATGGCTAACCTTTGCAAGCTGTGACGACACACTGTACTTAAGGGATGCTGGCATACGCATGTACCGCAAACATACATCACTCTTCCAGCGTCCAGCGGCGCGGATCAGAGAGTCGGGCACACCGGCCATTGCGGCTGTTGCTGTCGTAGCAGCACCAATGCGGAATGAGTGCCCGGAATACAAGTGCAGGTTTGGCACGCCAGATGCTGCCAGCAATGAACGTACAGTGGTGGTAAATGCCGCACGAGTAAGCTTCTATCCATCTGAGAGCACAACCAGTGTCCCAGTGGATGGATGATGGCGGGTAGTGAGCAGGTATACTGTCATCGCTGCTACGGGGCAGTACGGTTGCGTGGCTCGGCCAACGAACACTGTGACCCCACTGCCCAGTGGATCTGTTTTTGACTTTGGCAGGAACAGCTGCATGTTGCCGTCTGCGAGTCGAGCATCAGTCCTCCAAGTCTCCCCTGTAAACTCGGAACAGCGAAGGAAGCCGTAAAATGCAAGCAGCATACATGCTTGATACAGCAGACGGTCATGTCGGTTGAGTAGTTCCGTCAACTGGCACGCATCCACTATTTTGAGGAGCACAGGCATGGTAATAGGAAGGCGAGGTGTGATAACAGCTGTGGCATGGCACCGTCCAATGCCCTTTACTACTCGTTTCAGCAGCCAGGCATCTTCCAGCGGATCACCCAATCCTTGTTCAATTTGGGCGTTGCGCACCGCACTGAGGTACACAGAGATAGTACATGGTCTTACTGAGCAAGCGAGGAATGCGGCAAAGCAAATTAGCTGATAGTCAGTAGCTGGGAAGGGTTTCCAGAGGCACAACTGGCAGTAAGCACTATATCTGCTCTCACCGGTCGAATAGGTGCGCCGTGTGTTCGGGGCAATGGCGCATGCAGCGTAGTAGCTTACTTCCCCATGTACTGGGGCCATATCACATTGTCCGGCAGGTTCTTGGCGCTGGGAGCGAGCCGCCGAAATGCCTGCATAGAGAAGCGTGACAGAGAATCAGCAATCAGGTTTTTGTTCCCTGCAATATGGATGGCCGAAATGGTAAAGTTATGTTTGGCGCAGACAAAGAAAAGTCCGCGGAAAAGTTGCATCACTGGGGCTGATTTGCTACTGCCCGATTTTACACAGACCACAACTGCAGCATTGTCGCAGTCAATAAGGATACGGAGCTTGGCCCAAGCATGGCCCCAAGTGGCGCAAGCGACTAGCAGGGCAAACAGCTTCTTCCAAGAGATGTCTCTCTCCACTTCTTCTCGGGTCCAAGTGCCGTTGATCCACCGGCCGTTGTTGTAGGCTCCCCAGCCACGTGAACCGCTTGAGTCTGTATAGAGTTGTAGATCTGGCGATGGAGTCCAGTTGGGGTGCAAGAAGAACGATTTACCGTTCCAGTGTTGCAGCAGGTGATGTCACCACCTGATATCTTCCATAGCATCAGAGTCCAGTACTATCTTGTAGTGGGGCTCTTGATACCTGCTGCACACCGACCAGAGCCGTCGAAGAAATGTGCCCCCTGGGGTGACCACCCGTGCTGCAAAGGAGAGTTTTCCCAAAAGGGACTCGAGGCTGCGCTGAGAAATAGAGTTACGCTGGAGGGTGGCAGTAAGCAGAGATCTGAGCTAAGTCAGTTTGTCGGATGGGAGCCTGGCTTGCTGGGAAACGCAGTCCAACTCTATTCCAAGAAATGTAAGACACTGAGCAGGGCTTTCTATCTTGTCTGGGGCCAGGGGTACGCCTAAGAGCATGAATGCGCGGAGCAAGATAGCCAGCTGGCGGTTAGCAACAGAAAGGCTAGAAACGGCGTTCAGAAAGTCATCTAAGTAATGCAAAAGATCACTTATGGAGAAATGATGCTTTATGATCCATTCAATAGCATCAGCAACGATGTTGAAAATGAAGGGACTAGAGCGCAAACCAAAAGGGAGCACTTGTTTATAATAGTAATGGCCTTGCCAAAAAATACCAAGCAGCAGGAAATCTTCGATGCGTACTGGGATCTGCCTGAAGGCGCTCTTGACATCCAGTTTTGACAGGTAAACTGGAGGGGGTAAAGACATAATCATATTGATGGCATCATCAATAGTAACATAATTTATTGCAGCGAGAAAATATCAGTAGGTATGCCGTCATTGACTCTCGACCCGAGTGGGCTAGACAGGTGGTGGATCATGCGCATTTTGCCGTTTTTCTTTGGCACTGCACCGACGCCAGAGCAATGCATAAACGAGAAAGGGGGTGAAGTGAAGGGGCCAGCAGTTTCCCTTCGACTACAGGAGGCAGCTAACTGGTCTGATATAAACTGAGCGTGTTTAGCAGCGGAAGGGAAATTAGGAGAATTAACGTTAACAGTACGATCACCTGAAAAGCCAATATCGAAGCCATGATGCAAGCCATGCAGAACATATCGTGAAAACTGTGGGTCTGGGTGGGCAGATAGCAAGGAAGAAAAGCGGGTAACATGCAAAGGTGAGCGGAATGTGGAAGCGTGGAGAGTAATGGCTAAAGGCAAACTATCGGAGTTGCTGACCTTACTGAGAAGTGGTTCGGGATTTGGTCCCAGCCTTGGGGCACTGTTGGCGGGAATGGTTGCCGCCGCATGTGTTGCAGACATGGTGGAAGCGGCAGGACGACTTGTGCTGGCACTGGCCGGAGTTAAAGTTACGGCAGATGATTCGGCCGCTCTCAGAACGGGTGAGCGTGGACCCGTGCTGATACTGCTGGGGGCTTCTGTTCGGACGAAAAGGACACTGACTGGACGGAGGGTGCACAGTGTGGCATACAGGACATGCTGGTCTGGCCTTACCCGTGACGGATAGCTGCCACAGATTATTGTCGATTATGTCAAGGCGCTTGCCTGGCTGGAGCGAGGCTGACAGCCAAAGTTGCTGGTCATAGCTGAGCCAAGCAGCTGGCAGATACTAGCGGTTGGCTTTGAGGATGATGGACTGGTACGCCAACAATTCGTGGAGACGGTGTGGTACGTGAGTACAGACAACACCCGTGTACAAGGTCCAGGCCTCTAGCCATGTTGCGATGTCGTGTACTCGCCGTTTGACTTGGCGACCGTCGCTGGTTTCAACCAGTTCCAGCGACTGCTTACTTCCCCCAGACTGATTGGGGGTACGAAGCTCAAACGAGCGGGATTCAGGTTGAGAGACAAAATTGCTTAGCCCCTCTGGCAACAGTAAGTTCAGCTCAATGAACTCACCTTTCACGATGCGATCTTCCAGTGACTTGGGCACGAGGAGGTGAGCTGCTGCCGAGGTTTTGGTACTGCTAGCCGGCGGCGCAGGTGCAATGGAGCTCAACCCGGGGATAGGAGGAGCAGGATCGGACAGGGTGACAGTTGCCGTGGTCTAAGAGGCCGCCTCTGGTGCTCCCGACAACGCTGTGCCGATTGCAGCTGATACTTCTTCGCGCACCATACGCCGCAGTTCCTGCTGAAAGTTGTCACGACCCGAATTATCCGGGTCCTCCGTAACAGCAACAGAAGCCGCAGAAGCGGCAGAAGCCGCAGTAGCAGGAACAAAGTCCTCACGTTCGTCTACGGCTCCCTCGAGTCGGTTTATCAGGACCGGTTTGGTGCCAGATGGGTCTAGGTCGCGCTTTTCGAGCTGTTCACGCAGCTCGGCGACACGCAATCTCTGCAACAACTGATTTGAACTCATCGTATGCGATGTTCAAGGAGAAACAGCTACGAGGCTACGGACAAAACTGCAAAAGCTAGGCAGCGAGGAAAAGCTAGGAGCTGAAGAAAAAGCAAGGAGCAAAACGAGAAAGCAAGGAGCAAAACTGTGAAAGCCAGGCAACAGCAGCAAACTCTACTTTCACAAAGGCAACACTCAAAGCAAGGCACGTGGGAAAAGTTTGGAGCAGAAGAAATACAAGGTGTGAGCTGCAACCTCTCTTGGCGCGGTTTCGGAGCTGCGCTGTAGATTAGCGCCGTGAATCTGCGTGATTGATTAGTGTAATCAAGCTGCCAGCTGGCAGGTGTTCATGCGGCGCTAACACGCTCTAGCCACTGGCTAGTGCGCCATTTTACCAGGATGTTTGGGAATAGATGTTGGATTTAAACTTCACTCTTCAACTCTAATAACGTAAAGTCACGGATAAAAGCCGGGCTTATAAGCATATAAGCCGCTTTCTGCATCAGGCTTCAATGCAAACCAGGTTTGTATGCAAACCAGGCTTGTATGCAAACCATGCTTATATGCATCACTGATATTTTTGCCAGGCTTGTATGCACATCGGCCGATCCGGGCTTGTATAGAAGCCAGGCTTCTACGCACGACACGCGTAGATCTACCACTGACTACCGGTATGGCGTCAGTTTTACTATGCACTGTACATAGCGGATGCACTCTTGACCTACCCGATCCGCGCTTGCATAGAAGCCAGGCTTCTACGCGCGACAGGCAAATATGCATTTGACCCATTTGATTTTCAGGCTTCTATCCGCGATGTGCTTGTATGCAAACCCGGCTTTTATCTGCGACTTTACGGTAACCGTCTCTTTACTGTGTCCTGTCCTTGGACTGCTGTCTGCCAGTCCTGTGACAACCTGAGAATTTCCTAGTGAGCAGCTTTGTTTTGAGCTGTCACGCTCTTTGGTACAGTGTGGTTTGGCTAGTGTCTTTTCCCACGTGCTTGTCATGAAGGTTGAGCGACACACGCTTTCCCCACGAAGGTGACATGCTTTCTTGCCATAGCACATCATGTGATCCAGCCCCGACCCGGTCAGCTAGGTGCTCGCGTTGTACGCTTCCTGGAAGTGCTCCACTTCCTGGAAATGCGACTCCATGCTTTGTGCAAAAGAGCTCCGAGTTAGTTGTTGTTTGGAATAAAGCAAGAGAACAACATTACACACCTCACTGCGACGTTCTACAGGTTTCCACAATGCCTCGGTGTTTTGTTCAAAGAGTGTAACGGAATCTCAGCCATTCCGTTCCCCGGGACGCAGGACACAAAGGACAAGACTTGTTTGTTTTACATTATATATTTGGAGACTAAACTCAAAGGGACGAACAAGAAGACTGACAAAAGGACTCTCGACTACAACATCGCGCATGCTCATATCACACGTGCACGCGACTAGACGAGACAGTTTGGGGAATGCCATCACACAGTAAAACAACACATCATTTCACAACAAGAGCAAAGACTAGCAAGAGCTAAGTGCAAAGAATGAAGAGCCAAGACAGGCACAAAAGCCAAAACATTCACCGCGCCGTGTCAGGGTATCGTGCGAGCAGAGCCAAGAATTTCGCAGACTTGCCCCATAAGAAGGCGCTAAGCAATGGCACGTTTAATTCTTCTTTCCTTGTGTCTTTCTTTCTCTTTCTTCTCGAATGATTACTGTACGTGCGTTCTGCTTTCTGCTGACTGGCTGCGCATACTCCAGTTTTGCCAGTTCCACTACTTCCTGGAAATACATTGTACCATTCTATCCAATGATCACGCCCGATCGGCAAAACACACTATAAAAGAAGCTCGCACTCTTATATTCCTTGCAACACTGCTCTTTTCTATTTCATGGCTTTGCAGGATCAAGAGCGGCGGGTCGGTGTACAACAGCAAATATTTTCGATTAGACAGACCTTGCCCTACACTATGTACGTGTTCATGAAGGAAGGGCATAGCGGACTAGCAGTTTACTACTACCAGGTCCATAGTGGATCAGTGCCGGTAGTTTAGTTAAGAGGTACGGTCACAATTACTAGTGCTCTGCATATGAAATAGCTTACCATGATCGGGCATGACTGCGAAGTACCAATCAGGAGAAGTCAACAAAGAAGGGCATGTACCTCTAGCAAATACATACACCTTGTAGAAGCCTGCTGGTAGGGATAGTTCAATTTGCGTTGCATTGGGCAGAGCGACAAAGTTGTCTGGAGACGTTGTACTCATATTTCCTATGACGGGCAACACAGATATTGACCATTGCTGGAAATTGGCAGTGGGGCATGTCGTAATATCGCCACCAAATACAGACTGATTCGTTGGTAGAGGAATCACAACTTTGCCCATACTCGGGCCATCAGCGGTAACGTCTGGCAGACCAAGCTCAGGCCAGAGAGGACGTAACAATCCTGTACACACACACACACACACACACACACACACACACACACACACACACACACACACACACACACACACACACTTGTTCTTGTTGCTCACTGCCAAAACTGGTCACGTGGGTCTCCCCGGGAGAGAGGAGAGAGACTCAAAAGGAATCTTGGAAAGATGACTCAATTGGCTATTGAACCGCTCAACGGCCGACACCCCCTGAAATCCCCAAAACTCTGGGTGGACTTGAAAATGATCCCACTTATGGGCTCACCACACCTCAGTAAGTGGGTGAGGATAAGGTGCGGAAAAATGATTGACGGCATCAGGGTATCCGTCCCGGGATCCAACTGCAGCTACCCCTGCCCCCAGTGAAGGTAATACTTGCTACTAGTGTGGGTGGCTAAATCAGAGTGGATCTGATAAAAGCTTCACTAGCACCATTGATTGCACAAGAGTTAATCTAGCCAGAAGCAGTGCATGGTTAACAGGTATGTATACTTCAAATAGAAAGCATATGAACTCTGGAACCAACAAAGGTGGCAGGTACAACACACGCACGCACGCACGCACGCACGCACACACCCACACACCCACACCCCCACCCCCCCACCCCCCCCACCCCCCCCCACCCCCCCACACACCCACCCACCCACCCACCCACCCACCCACCCACCCACCCACCCACCCACCCACCCACACCCACACACCCACACACCCACACACCCACACACCCACACACCCACACACCCACACACCCACACACACACACACACACACACACATGTACAAAAGCTTGAATTCAAGCCCGAACGCACATTCTGCTTTCCACCAGACCGCATGACGGTTGCAATACCAGCACAAACAGTGCATCAGCAACCCGCTATGACAGAACGTTTATATCTTTGTTTCATTCAACCCACCCTGGATTACAGCAGCAATGCATACGTTCACACTCTCCATGTTGGTCAGTACAATAACTTACTTAATATCAGCAGGCGTTCATTTTAAAAGCAACTCGTGAAAGAGTTGTTTTCGGATTCACCCGCACTGCTGACAACCCCCCAATCATTAGCCGTCATCGGTTACAACCCATTGGCATTCGCCAACCTTTGCAGTTTCGTCCATTGCTGTGTCTATAGCAACGCAAGCCCACTTCTCTTTCAGATGTTTGTTCTCCGCTCAGCTGCTGCCCCTGGATGCCCCACTCTCTCAAACACCTCAAATCGCTTAGTTCTCCCCAATGTCACCTCAGGCTATGGTTCTGTGTCCGCGTCCGTTCTTCTCCCTAATAGGTGGAATAGCTGTCCACCCGCTGTTCATTCCACTTCGCGCTGGCTAGACTGGGTCTGTTCTGGATGCAAATCTTTCTTGCAAGTAAGTTTAATTTTTTGAGTTTTTGAGTTTGTAGTCCATGTTGCGTTGAGTCGCCTAAAACGGATCGTCGTCGATGTATCGAAGGAAGAGCCTAATAGAGAGGTTAAGTGTCACGTAAAATTCTTACGTCCGTGAACTTTTACGTCAAAAATTCAATAAACTCACGTAAAATTTGACGTGTTTTACGTGAGTTGACTGTCCCGCACGTAAGTTCGTGACGTGGGTTTTTGGAAGTTTCGCTTGGTTATCCCGATCGAATTTGTGCGAGTTTCCGTAGTTTTATCGAGTTAGTTGGAAGACAGTTTCCTCTGAGACAAAAATGCGATAATACTCATAAAAAGGACACACTTCAGGCTCATTACAAACATCTTGAAAGTTTTTGTCTTCACAAGTATACTTTCAAGCCTTCTCGTCAGGTGAAATACAGGCAAGGAAAAAGGAACTGTTTCTTTTCCCTTGCCTGTATTTCACCTGACGAGAAGGCTTGAAAGTATACTTGTGAAGACAAAACTTTCAAGATGTTTGTAATGAGCCTGAAGTGTGTCCTTTTTATGAGTATTAGTTGGAAGATTTGATATTTGTGCGAACTAAACCCGAATCCTGCCAGGCAAAATTTCACGTCACGTCGCACGTGTAACTTAACCTCTAAAAACTACACGTAACGTGAGATTTGCACCGCGTTTTGAAAAAAGGCAAAAATGTGCAACTTAACCTCTCTAATGACTATGTACTGCGGAGCGGAAGAAGACGACATCCTCGCGCTCCATCCGCAGGATGAAATAATTATATTTTGTAGATTTGCGTCGGAAACAGAAGTCTCAAGTCTCTCAAAAGTCTCTCCCACACGAAGCTAGCTTTACGGTCCGACATCACGAATTTCTACTGACTCGAAACTAAGCAAAGCGGACTGATTCGATTCGAAACTAATCAGAAACTGCTGCAAACTACAAAGAATAACGTAAGTATTTCTTGCGCAGGTGCAAACTACAAATGGCGAGTAAGTCGAAGTGGTCAGAAGCAGCATCAAACGACCATACGTTGACGATGTCTAGTTTGGAGTTGACAGGAGGGCATGCACATCGAAACCACGCCTTGTCAACGACCCGTTCTTTCTCAGTTTTAACGACCACTACTCAGCAAAGAAACAAAACAACAACGAAGCACAACGACACACCAACGCTGATGTGGCATCCCAAATCCCGTACCGTGCACGCAGGCACTGGGTTGCAACAGAAGAAAGATGCGCTGCAAGTGTGCCAAGCAAGCAGCGAGTGAGTACACAACGCTGTACTAATGCCAGTCATGGCAACGGGAGATAAATAATCATGGAGATCGATCCGCGCATGGTTCGATCGAGAGCAGAGTACGAAAAAAGCAGACATTCAAAGTTCAAACTGTGCAACAGAAGCAGAAGAGGAAAACGAAAATGAACACTTGTCGTGAAGTGAAGTGCTTCTGTCCAAGGGTGCTTGCACCCGACGGGGTGACAGCGCCCCTAGTCAGACAATACAAGGCAAACGAAATAGAAATTAGCTGAGTCACAGTGTGGGACTCCGAAACGAAAACCGGTGAGTATGTAAATATTAATTGTTCGTACCTGCTGTACAACGTAACAATTGCTCAAATTCGTAATGTATTTTCAAACTAGCACTCGAAGAATTGTAGTGCGAATGTGCCACTCGATTATAGTAACAACGACAAAGAGATACTCTTCTAAACAATGTCGTTTGTTGCCCAGTTGCAGTGACTGTTGTACATTCTATGATGCAAGAACACAGCGAGCCTTTGTACTGAAAGTTGTACATGAAGTGCAGCATTTCGAATATTCGACTTCTGGCTTGCATGTTAGAATATTCGGTGCAGCTCGAAATATCGAAGATGCTTGATTATTCGAATATTCGCTGCAACACTGCAAGTATGTTTCCAGCAGTTCGAATAACATGCATGATGACTTAGGCAAAAACTTGAAAAAAGCATACCGAGAGCCCTGAGCTTTCAAGCTCTCTTGTTGCACATATAAGCGTATGGGCTTCTACCAGAACATGTTTACACAGCCAAAAATCTTTTTTGCAGCAAGTTCTCGCTTCTAAGCGCATGTGCATCTATATGGGGAAGTACGGTATTAGTTATTTATTGGCTGCTGGCGTATAGTTTTCCTGCTTCACCCTGAGGACTGGCCATGCCGACACATTTGCGGTGAAGAAGGGAAGATGTTAATAATCAAACTGACCAAGCGGCACGACTGTTGAGGCTGAGCGACGATAATGTTGTACATGTGGCTGCGCGTGTAGCTCTTCGTTGTACATGCGATTGCACGTCACAGTGTAGCTCTTTGTCGTACATGCTGCTGCTTTTGTGTCTCTTTGCTTTACATGCTGCTGAGCCGTGGTACATGCTGCTGCGCTGTTTTTAACTCCTGCGTACATGCGGCTGCACCGTCTTCTGTCCCCGTTGTGTACACATTTGCTCGTCCTGTCCCCGTTGTACGCCTTCACTATTATACTCTGTTGTCTTGTCACAGTGTCAGTCGTTAGTTGTTAGTGTTAGTTGTTAGTCGGAAGTTCTCTCCTCGAGTCGTGAAGTGTGGTTTAGAAAAAGATCTCTTTTCAATTGAGAACAACCATTTTACTAGACCCTTTGTTTGTGTGGCGGGAAGAATGCGAAGAGTTAGCTCGTCCTTCGGGCACACGACAATAATAATGTTTTGCTATGTAAGTGCTCTAAAATGTCTTTCGCTGATTCTTTTTAATTTTTCATACACCACACAATTGGGGATTTGGCAAGTTTGGCTTATCGTCTGCAAGCGAGAGATATGCGATTCGACCCAATATCAAATTGTCCTTCATCAGAACCCTACTTGAAAAATCGAAACATTTCCTCTTTACTGATTTGTTTTGCATGTGAAGCAAGTGTAAAAGCAATACCGTAATACGAGTGGCAGGTGACATCCGGGCTAATGTGCACTTTCAGAGCAGCAAGCCTTCATTACAGTCCATTTCAAAACTATAGACGTGTACCTAGGCAAAACCCGTTATGCCAGCATCTATACCACATAAAATCTGTGATCACTTTGTGCATAAAATTTTCCAAATTGGGCGTCTGTTATCCAATCGTTTAGAAACTATAATGAGAGTAATTGTGGAGCGGACCTGAGCAATAATCCAAAAACTATTCTCAAAACGTTCCAGCCAAATTTGAAATATTTCAAAAACACTGCATGTCTATAGTTTTGAAATGGACTCAGTAATAAGTTAATAACATACCGGTATGTAAGCTAAGGTGAGAGTGCTCAGGGCATCAAAGCACAGCGATTGATGTCGCTGCAGGTGCGCATTTGGTCCAGATTTCATTTACTGCAAAGGCAGCTATGGTACTGGCTAGAGAAATCCAACCTCATGAATGATACAGCGCCGGGCAATACGCAACACTATGTCTAGCCGCCGGGCAATACGCAACACTATGTGTAGCCCCACGTACACCACTAGTATCCTGTGGACTTGGACGTGGCGCTACTATATTTATGAAGTCGAACGTCTCCGGGAAGAACTGTAGTGTGCTGTCTGTAATTGTGATGAAGTCGGTGATGCCGGCACTAGCCATGTCAGCTCCAGTGATGGCATTAGCAGAATCACACGTGTCATTATCAGTATCCGCAGCAGCAGCAGCAGCACCAGTAGTGGCACAGGTAGCAGCAGCAGCAGCAGCAGCATAATCATCATCATCTGGATTAACCATGACTCTAGTGACTTGTAATGCACACAAGATCTCACCCTGCACGTTGTCCACGACAACTTCTTGCACTTGCAAGGTCACCAATCCACCATTACAGTTCAGCTGCTCAACTATTGTATAGTATACAACATTCCGTGACCAACTTCCAACAGTAATGTTGAGGGGGAAATCCTGGGGCTGGTAACCGTACTGCTTATGCGCCTGCAAAAAGCTGGTGGAAAGCTGTTCAGGTTGAGTGCTGTATCTTTCCACATAGACATTGAAGGACACTGCATCCGGCGTTACCTTTGCGCTTGGGAAAGGAATAGTCAGCGAGACTGGAGAGAAGACAAACACAACAACATTTTAAACGGTACTGTAGTCTGACTAGTGATGTGGCACTTCAACTCCCCTTAGGCCACGCCGTTTTTTTTCTATGTTTCGCGTCACCTTATTCGATGAAATCAATGAGGGAGGGCGAAAAAAATAAAAAAGCCATCCAAAAAAAACAGTGTACGTGCATTGCATTTGTGTACAGTGAAGCGACGCAGCACTGTTCATGTACATTGACATGTACATGAATACATGAGTGTATCCCCTCTGCCATGCTTGTGGTCCAAACACAGGCGGCATGATGATTGTGTGACTTGCGGCCCAGCTTATTGCACACACATGATGTACATGACATTGTCATGTGTGTGAGCTGAGTACAATCATGCGATACTACTAGTAAATAGAACAAAATATTTAATAATTATTGATGTCAACATAATAGTTATGTGTAACAATCAGGTTACATTTTCCGGTTTTCTGGGTTTGCATTAAATTATTTGTATTGCATTTTCAAAAAAATTGTTCCGTTTTTTTTTTTTTTTTTTTTTTTTTAACTCCGGCTGTGAAATACATGCGCGCGGGGGACGCGAAACACAGATAAAAAACGGTGTGGCCTTAGCCTTAGAAGCAAGATGTACTCCATGGCACCATTCCTGCTGCACCTGGAATGCCTTTTAATTAAAGAGTGAGCTGCACTTTTTTTTGCTGGATAGTGTAGCATAGGTACTGTGGCCAGAGCTGCCACCTTTCTAGTGCTGCAAGAATGACATGTCGACCCTAGCGGAATCCCAGAATGCACTTTAAAACAACACTGTGAGGATGCTTGGAATAGGGTTCCGGAGAGCGTAAGAAGATTTTTAAAGAAAAAAAAAGATAGGATAGGAAAGAGACAGAGTCTGTGCATACCGCGGTACAATGTCTCATATTGCTGCACATACTGCTACAGTCGTCCCTCTCTAATCCGGCACTTGTTTATCCAGCACCCTTGCAAACCAGCACACTTTCTGGCAAAACGGATTTTTTCAGTTCATTTTCTACGCTTTAATCCGGCACTTGAATTCCGCCTCCGGCAGCGATTTTCTGCAACAAATCACTCAAACTGTATATAATTTGATTTTCTAATCCAGCAGTTGTACATCGCATACCGTACCGGTGCCAATATCCTATGCCAGTGCATAGGATATTCCCAAGTGTATATGTTATAGACATGGCATGTTACAGACATGCATTCCACAAACGTGTGACAAAGTACTTGGATTGACACAGAAAATCCCTACATTTTGACGTACGACACAAACATGTACGTTACTAGGTGAGCCGGGTTGGAGGGTAGGATTTGATAATCCAGCACCCTTGTTTATCCGGCAGAAAAGGCCGTTGCAAAAGGTGCCGGATTAGAGAGGGACGACTGTATAGCACATACCGCGGTACAATGTCACATATTGCTGCACATACTGCTACTTGTATAGCACATACCGCGGTACAATGTCACATATTGCTGGCATTTGCTGCACATACTCCTATAGTGCACACTGCTGCTTTTCTACGTCTAAAGTCTAAATTCTAAATTCTAAATTCTAAATTCTAAAATCTAAAAGCACTCTTGCCGGCCTGCGTAGGACTAGTTAGGAATCGGCCAAGTCTCTATTAGACAATGACAAACTTACCCGCATGCTGAACAGAGAAGATCAAGCTAGGCGTGAATTGTGTGTATTGCGTGGCACTGCCATTACTGCTGCCGTTGCTACATGCTGCTGCAGCAGCCGGGTCAGCGCAGTCGGTGCTTTGCCCGCGTATTCGAATGCTGTATGTTCCCAGCGGCAGTCGCTTGGTCAGCCGAGCGTTCCCGTAAGGAGCGAACGCAGCCGGGGAAGCATTCCTCTGCACTATGTCAATGCTGGACACGTTCATCTCGTCCGTCGTGTGCTCGATGTGTATGGCAAGGTACGGGTAGGCGAAAGTTGTCTGGTTGTCAGTTAAATCTGGCAGGAGCACAGTGATAGTGGAGTGAGTTGCACTCTGCACTACGGACAAGGAGGCGGCGCCCTGGGGCCA